CGTGATCTGTGGGCCTGACTCTCTGAGGGCCGGGACGCATTGGCGGCACGGTGCTTGGTGCACAGCCTGCAGGCTGAGGTTGCGGCCGCAGATCCTGTCCTGAAGGAAGAGGGGGCTATTCACATGGGCCTGGGGAGAAAACAGGAACACAGGCCCCCAGCCTGGTCCTCCACCACCCTGGCTGGCTTCCGGCCCCCTCCAAGACCATCAAAGCTGCTTCCGCTTTCCTGGCCACTTCCTTGTCTGCCTAGAGCTGAGGTTTCCAGCCCCCTCCCAGGCTTAGTAGTGGGAGGCAGGCCAGAGGCTGGCCTGTGGGACTTTGGCCTTGAGGGTCCCAGAGCCCGGGCAAAACTTAGCTACCAAGGTCTCCAGTTCCAATCCACACACCTTTGGCTGTGGCCTGGGCCCAGCGATGGTCCTCACTGTAGCCCAACTGGACAGATAACTCTTCTCGGATGGGATGGAAAACCCACAGGGCTACTAGTATCTGGGTCCTGCCCTCTTGACAAAGGGAGGACGTCCTGTCCCCAGAGACCTTCCTCCCTGCACCTCCCACTTCCTCCAGGGTCCCTGAGGAGCTGAGCACCCAAGGCCTGCTCTCAATGCCCTGGCTCCTACATGTAGCCTCAATGCTTCAAGGATACTGGCTCCTGGGGATGGCTGCAGGGCAGCAGGGAACAGCAAGAGGACTTCCTGCAACTCAGGAAATGGCCCCAACTCTGGGCCCAGCCCCCTGCCTGGCTTCCACATCCTGAGGAAGGTGCTGGGGTCACACCAGCTCAATCATGGACTCCAGGGCACCCTGGCCTGAAGGACAGGCCTAGGCTTCCCCTCTCACAGGTTACTGTGCAAGAAAGAGGATAAGGCGGACTGGGCCCCTTTGCTGGAACGAGGGTCCATAGGACCTCTGCCTCCCTGGTCTGCACCCAGTGTAACAGAAGGCCAAACGGAGGTGCAGATAAGCAAACAATTCCAGAAAGCAATAAGAGCGATTCTGTGTTAGAGCTCACATGTGAGCCTCGTCCTCTCCGTGTGTGTGTGTAGGTGTAGGGCAGGTGGGGGTTGGGGCCAGTTCATGTCCTCACAGGATGTAAGAGTGACACACTCAAGGCCCTTGGGGCCTACTAAGTGCGGAAATGGGGGGAGGCTAGAGTCAGGTGTGAGGGTAGTGTGAGACCACGACAGAGTGAACCACGGGTGAACCACAGATGGGTGGGCAGGTAGGGCGGGGCCAGTGTGGGTGTAGACATGGTCTGGTAAGTCTTCATATATTACCCAGTGACATCTCCGGGGGCTGGGCCAGAACTGAGTGAGGGGAGGGGCTCCATGCACCCCTCAGCTGGGCCTCCAGAACCAAATAAGGGTAAGCCTCCAAAGCTCAGGGGGCCTCCTACCTTGGTTTCTCTGAGGACAAGCTCTCAGGCTGACCTAGAACCTCTATTTCCTCATCTCTAAACAAAGGGTTAACTTTTCCTACTTTTTCCCACGACTGCTGAGTGACTGAAAGGAGGTTGAAGCCCGTGAAGCTGGTCACCTGTGTGCAGAGCTCAGTCCCCAGCCCCGAGTGCCAAGCTCTGACCCATGCAGGCTTGGGCCTGGGCTACAGAGAAGCTCAAGGAGGGTGTCTGTTCGGGCCCTGACCCTGTGGGTTGAGCTCTGTACACGTGTGAGTGTGCAGCTCGCGAGCATGAGCTCTGAATGTGTGCAGCCCAGCCCTTGGGCTGCCTCTTGCTCTGGCCTGGTGCCCAGCTCTTGGCCCTGTCTTAAGGGGTGTTCTCGGGCTCTGCCCCCCATCCCACGGCTTCACACAGGGTCCATTGAGGCCAGGACATTCCTTGTAGCCTGTGTCACTGGGGGGGAAGGGGGGCTGCCCCGCCCCCACAGATCCGGAAGGCCTGGCTGCCCCAGGAGAAGGCGCTGGAAGCTTCCCAGCACATCTGGAGGTCATGACCCTGTTTCTACTGCCAGGGGGCGCGACAGATGTTTCCTTCCAGGCCAGGAGTGGAGGACGGGAGGGGAGCAATGTGTGGAAAGGCTAAGGAGGAGGTCTCCCAGGGAGAAAGGGGAACCCCAGAATAGGGGGAGCCCCCCACGCCCTGGGCAGCAGGAGCACTTGCCAGAATCATCAAGAAAAGCCGGGAGCCGGTGAATCCTCTCAGCTCACCGGCCGGGCCGGGCTGTCATGCCGGGAAGGGAGTGGGAGCCGCCGGCCAGAGCAGGGGATTGGACACGCGGACTCCGGACGGAGCTGCAGCCAGAGGGAGGCAGGGCGGTGCGGGTGGCGGGGATCCCCGTCCCTCCCACCACCGAGTCTACAGCCAGGCCACCTCGTTCCCTGTCTGGCCCGACCAGTTATACCTTCAGCCCCCTGCTCCCGCTGTACCTCTGGGGGTCCCGTCTGGCCTTCACCGCCGCCTCCCGCGCCGGGTCCGGCTGTCTGTTCTCCCGCTACGGCTCTGTGAGCCGGCTCCGCCTGGGGGTGTGGCCTGAAGGGGCGTGGCCTGGAGGGGGCGTGGCCACGGCGAGCCGTCCAAGGCGGGAAGCACCGCGGGCGGGATGCCTTGCCTGGACTTGGTCATCCCCGCATGGCCGGAGGCCAGGACAGCCATCGGGCCTCCAACCATCCTTCTAACTCGCTGCCACCTGGCAGAGAAACCGAAACGAATGCACAGACAGATGGGGAGGGCCAGAGGAGGCCACCTAGTGTCCAGCCCTCGGTGGCGGACAGCAGGTGCTCAGGCACTGGGGCTACTCCTTGAGTTACGTCGTTACACATGCTGTCTCATTCCCTTGGGGTTGGGCATGATCACTGAGGTTAGAACTCAAGGCCTGCTCATCAAGCCCCCCCCCTTTTTTTTTTGGTCAGTCCTTCTCTCTCCCCCTGCCTTTTTTTTTTTAATCAGTCCTGGAGTTTGAACTCAGGGCTTGGACACTGTTCCTGAGCTCTTCAGCTCAAGGCTAGCACTCTACCACTTTGAGCCACAGCTCCACTTCCAGTTTTCTGGTGGTTAATTGGAGGTAAAACATTTCATGGACCTTCTTTTTGTTGTTGTTGTTGTGGGGCCTGAACTCTGGGTCTGGGAGCTGTCCCTAAGCTCTTCAGCTGTAGACTAGCACTCTACCACTTGAGCCTCAGTCCCACTTCCAGCTTTTTCTGCTTATGTGGTGCTGAGGAATCGAACCCAGGGCCTCGTGCATGCAAGGCAAGCATGCTATCACTGAGCCACCTTCCCTGCCCCTCATGGACCTTCTTATCCAGGCTGGTTTTGAACCAGGATAATCAGATCTCAGCTTGCTGAATAGCTAGGATTACAGGCGTGAGCAACCAGTGCCCAGTTCTCTGCCCCACCCCACCCCTTTTGTATTTCACTCCACCCCTTTTGTGTGCAGGTCTTGGGTCCTGAACCTGGGTACTGTCCTTGAGCTTTTTTTGCTCAAGGCTTAGCGTTCTATTAATTGAACCACAGCTCCACTTCCTGCTTTCAGTAATTAATTGGAAGAATCTCATGAACTTTACTGCCTGGCTTTGAACCATGACCTCAGACCTCAGCCTCCAGAGTAGCTAGGATTATAGGCCTGAGACACAGGCACTGGCTTCCCTAGCCCTTTTCGTTTTTTGGTCAGTCCTGGGGCTTGAACTCAGGGCTTGGACACTATCCCTGAGCCTCTCTGTGTTTAAGGCTAGTGTTCTACCACTTGAGCCACAGCACCACTTCTGGCTTTTTCTGTTTGTGTAGTACTGAGGAATTGAACCCAGGGCTTTGTGCATGCTAGGTAAGAACTCTACCACTAAGCCACATTCTCAGCCCCTTGCAATCTAGCATTTTGCTAGTTAATTGGAGATGGGGTCCTAGACTTTTCTGCCCAGGCTGGCTTCCAACAATGATCTTTCAGGTCTCGGCCTCCTCAGCTAGGATTAAGAATGGGAATTCAGACTATCTGTGTGTGGTGTGTGTGTGTGTGTGTGAATCCAGCCTATTTGTGGTGTGTGTGTGTGCGCATCCACACTAGGGCTTGAATGCAGGGCCTAAGCACTGTCCTTAGCTTTTTTGCTTAAGACTAACACTCTACTAGTTGAGCCACAGCTCTACTTCAGCTCTTTGGTGATTAACTAGAGATAAAATCTCATAAACTTTCCTCCCCAGGCTGGCTTTGAACCCTGACCCTCAGATTTCAACCTCCTGTAGCTAGGATTGCAGGAGTGGGCCAGTAGTACCTGGCAAGCGGGTTTTTTTTTTTTTTTTCTTTCAGTCATGGGTCTTGAACTCTGCGCCTGGGCGCTGTCTCTCAGCTCTTCAGCTCAGGCGGGTGCCCTACCACTTGAGCCACAGCGCTACTTCTGGTTTTCTGGTGGTTAATTGGAGATAAGTCTCATGGACTTTCCTGGCCAGGCTGGCTTTGAACTGCAATCCTCAGATCTCAGCCGTCTGAGTAGTCAGGATCACAGGAGTGAGCCATGGATGTCCAGCCCATTTATTCTTAAAACATCTTACATGGGGCTGGGAAGGTGGCTCAGTGGTAGAGCGATTTGCCTCGCATGCATGAGGCCCTGTGTTCGATTTCTCAGCACCCATAAACAGAAAAACTTGAGGGTGGCTCTGTGGCTCCAGTGGTAGAGCGCTAGCCTTGAGTTTAAAAACTCAGGGACAGTGCCCAGGCCTACCTAGAGTTCAAGTTCTACAACCAACCAAAACAAAGAAACAAACACCTTACACAGGTCCTGTGGTCTAAGGTTGGAACAACTGAGGTTCAGAGGCCTAGATCGAGGCAGACAAACGTGGGAGCCGCTAGACCTAGAGTCCTTTGACTACACAGGGACACGGAACCCAGCAATCTTTACACGAAGCCTTGTGAGGGGAACAGGCGTGTGGGGAGGGGATCTATCTCATCCAATCCTCACCTTGAGCTGACCTTCACGCCTCAGCCCTACATCCTTCCCTCCAACCTGACCACCTCTACCACCCTGCACCCATGCCCCGAGAGAAGAAGAAACTGCCAACCAAAATCAAAAATAGTGTTATTAATTTGGTGTCTCTGAAGCACGAAAAAAAAAAGAAAGAAAGAAAAAGAAAGAAAGAACAAACCAGCCTTGCCACATTTCGGGCCCCAGGTCAGGCCGAGGGACCAGCCTTTCAGGCAGTGCAGGTCCAGGGCAGAGTCAGTCCTGGTCACAGGCTCAAAGAGGGACCAGCCCATGGGTTTGGCTCTTGGGGCCTGGCTGGGAGGCTGACTGCCTCAGCTTAGAGCACCCAGGCCATGAATTAGGGAGAGATCAGAGGTCAAGGTCAGAGGTCTGGGCCATTCAGTTCCGGTACTTTGGCTGAGGCAGACAGAGGTCAGGGTTCAGGCTTGGGAGCCAAAGCTACTCAGTTCTGTGGTCCAACGGAGAGGGCCGGAGGCAGCAGAGGGAGTCCGAGTCATTGGGTCCTGGGACAGGTCCGTGGGCGCTGGGCGCTGGGCCGCTCAGTACTGGTGCTCCAGCAAGGGCTGCGCCGCTGGGCTCTCGCGCTCCTCGGCAGGGGCGGGCCAGTCACCCGGGAGCCCGGTGGGTGTACCACTCTTGGCGTCACTGCTGTCCAGACAAGGAATGTCCTGGGCTGCTCTAGGAGGTGAGGCCTCGGAGCTCACATCAGGGCTGAGGCTGAGGTCCAGAGGCACCTGAGCGGGAGAAGGCTAGTTGGCAGGGGACAGACCCAAGTGTCCTCTGACTCCATTCTCCCTGAGACTCCTTACCTGAGACTTGGGGGTGCCTCCTTTGGGACTCCCTGAGGCTGGCTCCCCATCAGATCCTCCCAGTCCCTTCCGACCCCCCAGGCTCCACTTCCCATTGGGCCCCTCGGAACTGAGGAGCCCAGGGCCAGGGGGCCGTGAGGGGCGGGGAACCTCAGTGAGAGCAGGGGAGGCGGGTGCTGGTCCAGAGAGCCGAGGGGGAGGCCACTGCAGCAGAGGCGGGGGCCGCCCGTCACCGGAGCTGCTGAGCGAGCCAGGGCCTGAAGGGAGGGGCTGCTCCCCACCGCCTGCAGGAGACAGATTACGAGGGCAGAGACCTCAGCTGGCCCGCAGCCCTGACCCCTGCTCCACCCGGCCTCCTCGGCTCACCTGCTGTGTTCTCAGGTGTGGGGTGCGCCAAGGGGGGATTATTGCTGAGGGAGGTCAGGCCGCCGCCCCCACAATCAGAGTCATCCACATTGCCGCCGCTGTTGCAGCCAGCGCCGCAGCCCTTGTGCAGCCTGAGGGTGACAGGTGGGGAGGGTTAAGGGGACACAGGGGCGGGAGGCTTCACAGTCCAGCGTAGCTGGGCAGGGCTCACCTCTCCCAGCTGCGCAGGAGCCAGCGGGCGATGGCTCCCAGGCTGACGGGGCCACCCCACAGCGCCCGCAGCTGGGGGTGGCTGCCGGCCAGCGAGGTGGTGAGGGGTGACACGTAGATGGGGTATCCGAGCGGCTGGTCGCAGGAGGAGTTGATCATGTTGCGGAGCGCCTGCTTGGCGTTCTGGATGCTGCCCCGCTCAGGGTTACGGTTGCGCAGAAACACCAGCTCCTGCTGCTGCCCGGCCCACAGGCCGCGCACGCATTCTCTGTTCACCTGTGGGCAGCCACAGCGAGGGTCAGGGCACCCGGGATGGGGCCAGGGGCCTGGGCGGCAGGATGGGGCCAGGGGCCGTGCACACCTTGATAACCCGGAAGCTGAGGTGGCGCCGGTTGAGCATGATGATCTTGTACTCATCGGACGCGTCGTCCATGACGTGGCGCAGCGCCAGCAGCGAGGGCGTGTTGCTCAGGATGGCGCTGCGCCAGGCCGGGTCCCCCTCGTGGGAGATGACCAGCCGCTCCTCATTGGCTGCAATGGCATCATACAGGGCCGCGGGCTCCTCGTATTCATCTGGGGATGTGAAATGGTCCTGGTGGGGAGGATGGGAGGTCAGGGGGGGTCAAGGACCTTTGCCCTGAGGGAGGAGCCTCATCTCCCACCCTCCCACATTGCCTGGGCACGCCTCTCCCCCACCTGGTGAAGCTTGAGGGCCATGCGAACGCCAGGTGCCACGACTCGGTGAAGCAGGTCCATGTCGGCAAAGACCCACTCGTCCCGTGGGGAGGTGATGCGAAAATCCCCCTTGAACAGGGCGTGTAGGCCATACAGGAAGGGCTCCAAGCTGCGTGAGAAGGAAGAGGTGAGCAATGGGTGGTGAGAGCCAGGGTCCCGAAGGACCAGTGCAGAGAACTTTCCTCACCCTCAGTTTCCCCATCTTGCCAAGGAGGCTGGATCGGCCATGCTCCTCACAGGGCAGGGAGGGGCAATCAAGGCAATGACTGAGGCGTGCCTCACTCATTCCACACCAAGGCCCAACTCGGGTGTTCAGAAACACCAATCAGGGCTGGGAATGCGGCTTAGTGGCAGAGTGCTTGCCTAGCATGCATGAAGCCCTGAGCAAAAGCAGCCCAGGGACAGAGCCCAGGCCCTGAGTTCAAGCCCCAGGACCGTCAAAAGAAACCCCTACAAAGCACCAATCATTTTGTGGGAGGGACAGGAGGGGGAAAGTAGGCCCAGATATGCGTCGGCACTCACCTAGCAGACATGCTGTGGGAGGCTGTCCCCAGGGCCCGACGGCCCAGCACACACAGGCCAAAACACAAGGTGACGAGTGGCGAGTTCCAATCCTGGTCGACTGGCTGTGACACAAACCACCCCCCCAGTCCCAGAGCCCAGCTCAAACTTGGGATTGGGAACCTGGGGTGAGGCCAGGGCCCAGGCCAAGGGAATATCCAAGTGGGAACAGGGAGGGAGAAGTGGTAAGCCCAGATTCCCAGAGCCCAGGGTGGGCAAGCCCTGGGGTAGTGGCTGGCTAACCTGGCCTCGCCGGGAGGCGCAGTACTGGATCCATTCAAGGTGCACAGCACAGAAGGAGGGTAGAGAGAGGCCAGAGAGGCGAAGGTCGTAGTCCTCATCCACGCTTAGCGAGAACGTGGGGTCTGAGTCAGCATAGCCCGGGGCCCGCACTGGCCTCAGGGCAGCTGCGATGCCCTCATGGTTCAGCCAGGCCTCCAATTTGGGGGAACGGTTGACATAGTAGATGATGCTCTGGGAGAAGAGGGGCAGATGATCAGGTGTCAGGCCGGCTACTTATTGGGAGAGGAAGCACAGGATAAAAAAAGAAAGTTCCTCTCCAGCCTGAGCTCCAGTGCGTGTTCAGAGACTGCTTCCTGCAGCTCTGCCCAGCAATCTGAAGCCACATGGAGCAGTACGCTCCCCTCCACCACAGCTGCATGGGGCAGACAGAGCTGGAAGTTGAAGACTCTGTGGAATCCGGATCTCGGCCTGGAAGGGACAGGCTGAAGTAGTAGGGCTGCCTACGGCCAGACAGCCTACGTGCCCTGCCTCATAGGTGCCTTAGGCAGATGAAGCATAACAGTCACCGGGCTGGTCTTCAGAAAAATAGCCAGAGGCATACATGTGGTGCCGTAGTTTGGGAGTTCCTGACCCACTGGTTAAAAAGACCTTGTTGGATTGGGTGCCCATGGCACACACCTGTAATCCTAGATAACTGGGAGGCTGAGATCTGAGCATCATGGTTTGAAGCCAGACAGAGTAGGAAAGTCTGTGAGACTCTTATCTCCAATGAAAAACCAAAAAAGCCAGAAGTGGAGCTGTGGCTTAAGTGCAGAGCGCTAGCCCTGAGCAAAAGGCTCAGGGACAGTGCCCAGGCCCTGAGTTAAGCCCTAGGACCAGAACACACACAACAGACCCCCCCCCCCCCCCCGCCCTCCCCCCCCCCCTCTCGCCACAGAGCCCTGCTGATAAGTTTAAGCAAGGGCTCAGCCCAGGGAAGAGCTTTCAGAAGGGAAACAGCCAGCACAGCTGGGAGGGTTGGGGAGTGTGTGGGCTGGCAGCCAATGAGGTTATGGGGATTCTATATGCTGCCAAAGGCTGGAGCCAATGGGGTTGGGCCTCAGGCTGAGTAACCAGTGGTATAGCTGTCCATGAGCAGAAGATACTCAGGCAGTAGGTATCCTGAAGTAGGGGTGGCTGTGGGAGGATTAGGAGACCAAAATAGCCAAGATACTTGCTGGGAAAAGCCCGGGCTCCCTGCTTTCTGGGACAACATGGAGTTAATGGAGACTTCATTGGTACCTTCCTTCTGGCATGGCACCCAAATGGCCAGTCAGAGGCAGGTGGAGGGCGAGGCTGCTTTAAGAGGGAAGAATCTTAATGGATTCATGGACGCAACATGGCTTTAGGGCAACTTCAAGCTACAGACTAGTGTTTCTGCCTAGACAACATCTTTAGTCCTACATATCATCTCTATGATCTGGGCACACAGAAAATGAACGCTTTGGGGGCAGAGGCGTTGCTCTGGCATGTTTGTGAATGGCTACCTTCAGCCATTACCATGGATTTTTTTCTTTTTTTTTTGGTTGGTTGTGGGGCTTGAACTCTGGGCCTGGGTGCTGTCCCTCAGCTCTTCAGCTCAAGGCTAGTGCTCTACCAGTTGAGCCACAGTGCCACTTCCAGCTTTCTGGTGGTTAATTGGAGATAAGAGTCTTACAAGCTGGGTACTGGTAGCTCACGCTTGTAATCATACTCAGGAAGCTGAGATCTAGGATCATGGTTCAAAGCCAGCCTAGGCAGCAAAGTCCATGAGACTCTTATCCTTGAGCTGAAGAGCTGAGGGACAGTGCCCAGGCCCAGAATTCAAGCCCTCAACCAACCAAAAAAAAAAGGGGGAGGGCTGGGAAGGTGACTCAGTGATAGAGTGCTTGCCTTGTATGCATGAAGCCTGGGTTCAATTCCTTAGCACCACATAAGCAGAAAAAGCCGGAGGTGGCACTGTGGCTCAAGTGGTAGAGCACTAGCCTTGAGCTGAAGAGCTGAGGGACGAGGGACAGTGCCTAGGCCCAGAATTCAAGCCCCACGACAAAAAAAAAAGAGTCTTATGGACTTTCCTGTCTGGGCTGGCTTTGAACTACAATCCTCAGATCTCAGCCTCCTGAGGAGCTAGGATAACAGGTGTGAGCCACTGGTGCCCAGCTACTACCATGGATTTCTGTAACTCCCCCAGAATGACCATCAGGGGAATATGAAGACTAGGGTGCGAGATGACTAACAGTGCCTCCCAATGCCCCTGGGGGTTGGCAAAGAGGCTACCAGGATTCATTCTGAGGAACACATATGGGCATTAGGACCATGATTATCTTCCTGCAGGAGCACGTCTGTGGGCTGTTTCCCCCGATGTAACAGGCCCATCACACTGGCTCTATCTCCTCTGCGGATCACTAGAGGATGCAACACGATCATAAACATGGCTGGCCTGGAAAGCCGAGGGCACGAAGTGGGGGGCTTGTCTCCAGATGACTCCAGGGCTGACAGCTCTGTGGCCACAAAGGCTGCGCCTCACCTCTCACCCACCATGCTCAATGGCTCCCACAGGAAGGTCAAGGTGTGGATGATGGCACAAGGTACCAAAGTGTAGTCAAAGCTGCAAAGAAAGGGCTGGGAGTGTGGCTCAGTGGTAGAGTGCTTGCCTAGCATGCATGGAGTCCTGAGTTCAATTCCTTAGTACCACATACACAGAAAAAGCTGAAAGTGGTGTGGCTCAAGTGGTAGAGGCTACCCTTGAGCACAAGAGAGGCTCAGGGATGGAGCTCAGGCCCTGAGTTCAAGCCCCAGGACAAGCTGGGGCTTGGTCAAGCTGCACAGCGGGCCCAGTCTGGCCCACATGAAGGGCGTGGCCAGCACTGCTAATGGGTCAGGACCCCCACTGCCAGCCTGACCTATCCATCCAGACCACCCCTTCATATGGAACCTCTGCCCAGCTTCACTGTGTGTGTGTGCATCTACGCGCACGTGCGTACTGCTACTAGGGCTTGAACTCAGGGCCTGGGCACTGTGCCTTAGCTATTTCATGCAAAGTTGGCACTCTACCTTTGAGCCACAGCTACAGTTCCAACTTTTTGGGGTAGTTAATTGGAGAAAAAAAGTCTAAGACTTTCCTGCCCCGGCTGGCTTTGAACCACGATCTTCACATATCAGCCTCGAGTATCTAAGATTACATGTGTGAGCCACCAGCACCCAGCCCCAGCCCAATTCTACCCAGGGTCTGTGGCAAGTCACTTCCCATGGGAGAGTAAATGTCAACCTGCCTAGTGCCTGCTTCCAGTGGTCAGAAGGCTATGTGTGGCTTTGCGTGGGACTTGCAGGAGGCAGTGAGGTGAGCAGGGCAAAGGCTCTGCTCTTGAGATGGGACAGAAAGGTGGACAGGACACTGGTCCTTGCATGAGCTGGGGTTGGAATGTCTCTCTGGACAGTGACCTAAGCAGTAAAAATGAGAAGCAGATAGAGCCTTGTAAACTCTTTCTGGGAGCAGGTGGAACAGAAGGCATGACAGAAGTTACAGGTTCTCGGTGTATTAAGCATGTGACAGGGATGAGATGTCCCTGAGGGCTGGGGCGGGAGGACAGGTGGGGCTATACGTAGCTAACCCAGAGAGAACTTCAGATGGACTCAACTGAGCCCCCAAAGATCACCCCTTCGGACCTCACAGAGTCCCAAGATAGAGCCTAAGAGAGCATGTGGGGCCTGGAGGGTCCACATAGTCTCCTAGTCTCCTAGTGTTCATTCTGAGCCCCACAAAGTCCCATCATTCCTGCTCATCAGTCCTTCGAGGTCTTCACTTAAGGGGTAAACTGGGGCAGAGCAAGGAAGTGGCATTCTAGGCTGGTGAGAACCCATATGCTCACTAATTTTCACTCTCTCTGATACCCAAAACTTGGCCTCACTCTACCCCAACAGGTCTCAAAAATGCTGGGTCCAGCTGTGAGTCCCCAGGCTGAGGAAACGAACACAGCTGCTGATAGGGCAGGGCTGTGTTCACAGCCTAGTGCCGCCATGTCCTCCTAATTCTGGGGCTTCAGCCAATCACCAGGCCAATCATGCAGGGACACGGAGCCCCTCCTGGTAGGTGTGGCAAGGTCTATTCAGCTGGGGAAAGGTGCCTGGCACGCAGACCAGCCCTGGGTAGGCGGACTGCTCACTGTGCTGGGTGGAGCACGGGGTAAGGCTGGTGCTCTTGGGGACTGCCCTGGGGCAGTGACCTGGGAGATCTGTGCATCTATTGCCCACCTGTTCCCTACATTTACTGCCCAAGGCAGGCCTTCTGGAGGGGTTGATGGATCGCTCCCTACTTTCAGTTCTCAGAGCCCCCGAGGTCTCTGTTCATGCTGCCTGGTGGTGGCCCAAGGGTGGGGAGTGCTTAAATTCCTGAGCCCCTTCCTCCCCTTGAGCAAAAACAGGCTCCTGACATTGCAGAAGACAGATAGCACTTGGGATGCCTTGAGTCTTCACCAGAGGGCTCCTGCTGCCCAGCTATGGGCCTGCCCAGCATACCTTGACGTAGTAGGTGATGAGGATCTTGCGGAGGTCGAAGACCTGCAGCATGGAGGCGGCGTTGTTATCGCTAATGCTGTACCCCTCTAGCACATACTTGCTGGCTGTCACCTCCCAGGCCAGCCAGCGCTGCCCAAAGGCGGCGTTGAAGGACAGGACCCTGGGCAGGTGGCCGGGCTCGCAGCAGCAGCAGCCTTCATCCTCCTCCACGCCTTCGGTGATGGCCTCCACCTCCCGCTGCTGGCAGTACGTGCCTGTGGGGAGGAAGGCATGCCCAATCAGGGGCCACCATGACAATCTCTGCCTCCACCTCAGCAAGTGCCTACCAAGGCACTTAAGACCTGTAGTCACCATCCTAGAATGCTGTAAAGGTCATTGAATTAGTGGACTACCAAGTGACCCCTTCTCCTTCAGTCAAAGTAACTCATTCAGCCGGGCGCTGGTGGCCCACGCCTGTAATCTTAGCGGCTCAGGAGGCTGAGATCTGAGGATTGCAGTTCAAAGCCAGCCCGGGCAGGAAAGGCCATGAGACTCTTATCTCCAATAAACCACCAGAAAACTGGAAGTGGCGCTGTGGCTCAAGTGGTAGAGCGCTAGCCTTGAGCTGAAGAGCTGAGGGACAGCGCCAGGCCCAGAGGTTAAGTCCCATGATTGACCAAAAAAAGAAAAGAAAAAGTGATTCATTCAAAGTCAGAGCCCCTTCCCTCCCTGTAGCCTCCTCTGAAGCTGGCATCCAGCATTTACAAATTACTGAAAGCAAGGAGCTAGCTCACTAATCCAGGGCTGTGCACCATCCCTGGTTTGCTGAGGACCCTAAGTTCTAGGCCCCAGCTTTCAACACAGCCATCCGTGGGGTCACTAAGGACTCAAAGGCAGCACCCAGAGTGGGGATGGCCAGCAGAGGATAAGCTACTGCACAGACTGAAACTGGAAAAGAAACACAGTGAGAAAGACTGTCTTGCCCTTGGTCATAAGGTCAGCCAGGGTGAGCCGATCTGGAAACTGAGCCCCCACACACTCCCAGATACAGTGCCCCGCCCCTCTAGGCTTGGCCCTGCAGCTCACCCCGGAACTCAAGGCCACGCAGCTGGAAGGTAACCAGGCCATTGCCAACCTCGATGAGGTGCACCAGCGCATTGAGGTAGTCGGAGGCCAGGACGAAGCAGTCACCGGGGCCATAGTTGCCCCAGCGGCCCAGCACCAGGTCTCCACACAGCGTGTGCTGCAGCGAGCGCGTTAAGTGCTCATAGAAGATGGAGTTGAGGTTGTTGTCATCAGCGCCTAGGACCCAGAACAGAGACATAGGCAAAGTGGCTGATAGGATCCCTCCAGGGGAGGCTCTGTCCCTTTAGCCCCAGGATGGTTGGGTACGCACCGGGATTCCTGTCCAGCTGTGTCACCAGGCGGGTGTTGGAATGATCCACACGTTTAGTGCTGTTTAGAGAGAACAACATGTATCAGCAGAGGGTGACAGGTTCTGCCTGCCTATAAGCATGTCCTCTCTGAGATGTGAACAGGTGCCATCCATGACAGCCCCAGGGCAGCTCTGTTCGCCTGGATCACAGGCTAGGATGTCGAGGCCAGGCTCTTACCACGCCTGCCTGCCTGCCTCCCTGAGGCCTTGGACTGGCACAGGTTTTTGTTTTTGTTTTTGCCAATCATGGTGCCTGAACTCTGGGCCTGGGCGCTGTCCCTCAGCTCTTCAGCTCAAGGCTAGCACTCTACCGCTTGAGCCACAGCACCACTTCCAGCTTTTTCTGCTTATGTGGTGCTGAGGAATCGAACCCAGGGCCTCACGCATGCAAGGCAAGCACTCTACCACTGAGCCACCTTCCCAGCCCCAGGTTTTTGGGTTTTTTTGGACAGTTGTAGAGCCTGAACTCGGCCTGGGTGCTGTCCCTCAGCTCTTCAGTTCAAGGCTAGCGCTCTACCACTTGAGCCACAGTGGCACTTCTAGCTTTTTCTGCTTTACGTGGTGCTGAGGAATCGAACCCAGGGCCTCATGCATGCGAGGCAAGCACTCTACCACTGAGCCACCTTCCCAGCCCCTGGCACAGGTTTTGCCCTCATTTGACTTCATTGCAGCCAGGCACTCACACCCTTGGTATTGGTACACAGATCCCCTTCCTGGGCATCATCTGACCTGGGATCCAAGGTCTTCCCTTCCTGCCCTGCACAGCACCCACCTGTCTCCAGTGAGACTCACTTGTAGTCACGCTCCCAGAACTTGAGAGGCCTCGCATAGGACATGATGAAGACAGCGCTGCCCAGGAGGGGGTTGAGCGGGGTGGAGAACAGCCCTGACAACAGGGCCTGGACAAACAGCATGGCTGAGTCTGGGTACAAGTCAAGGAGGCAGCAGGTACATGGGACCCCCCTACCCCCCAGTCTCCTTCCCCCCTCACCTCCACTCCTCCCACAGCCCCAGGCAGTAGCCTTTCCCCCACACCCATCCCACAAGAGTGCAGCAGCTGGGTACGTGGTACAGCAAAGGGCTGAGCAAAGGCATGGAAGGCTGAACCCCAGGTGATCTGCCAGGGTGCGATGTAGGTCAGCACAAAACGCAGCTTGTACAGCAGGTCCCATAGCTGGCAGGGTCGGAAGAGTTGGCAATAGAAAACATATAGGGTCAGTCATGGTGGTGGGTCTGCCCCACCTGCAGATACCATGCCTCATTGTCCAGTGGCTGCCCGGGCCCCAGGCTCTTTTTCTCTGGGTTTGATTTGAGGCAGCCAATGCAACAAACAACTGACTGAGCTCTAAAAGAGCATTTAATTCCTAGGATGGGCCTAAGAACTTCCTATGGCTGCCCTCATTTCACAGATTGGAAAGCTAAGGTTTAGAGAAGATAGAAAAGGTAAATGACGGGGCTGGGAAGGTGGCTCAGTGGTAGAGCGCTTGCCTTGCATGCCTGAGGCACTGGGTTCGATTCCTCAGCACCACATAAGCAAAAAGAAAAAAGCCGGAAGTGGCGCTGTGGCTCAAGTGGTAGAGTGCTAGCCTTGAGCTGAAGAGCTGAGGGACAGCGCCCAGGCCCAGAGTTCAGGCCCCATGACCAGACCGAAAAAACCAAAAGAAAAGGTAAATGACTTGATCAGTTCATGCAGCCAAGTGAGGTGGTAAGGCTGGGCCTGGACTGCAGTTCTGAAAATCAAGACATAGCCACAGGCCCTGGCCTCTGATGGGTACACAGTCTGAAGGCTCACCAACCTGGGCCAGGCCGGTAAGCAAGAATCAAATGCTCAAGTGAGTGAGAAAAAGACTTGGGACTGTGCAAGGTCCCAGTCTCCATAGCAAGCCTTCAGTTGGGTGTAAGAAATGGTACTTTGTAAGGGCTGGGATGTAGCTCAGTGGTAAAGCAAGTGCAATGTCCTGGGTTCAATCACCAGTACCAAAAAAAAGATCACCTTCTTTTAGGCTGAGAAGGTGGCTTAGTGTTAGAGTGCTTGCCTAGCATGCATGAAGGCATGGATTCGATTCCTCAGTACCACATACACAGAAAAAGCTGGAAGTGGCGCTGTGGCTCAAGTGGTAGAGTGCTAGCCTTGAGCAAAAAAAGAATTTGCTCAGGGCTGGGAAGGTGGCTCAGTGGTAGAGCGCTTGCCTTGCATGCTTGAGGCCCTGGGTTCGATTCCTCAGCACCACATAAGCAAAAAGAAAAAAGCCGGAAGTGGTGCTGTGGCTCAAGTGGTAGAGTGCTAGCCTTGAGCTGAAGAGCTGAGGGACAGCGCCCAGGCCCAGAGTTCAGGCCCCACAACTGGACCAAAAAAAAAAGAATTTGCTCAGTGACAGTGCCCAAGCTCTGAATTCAAGGCCTAGGACTCTCCCCACCCCCCAAAAAATAGAAAGAAAGAGTACTTTGTTTAGTGACCCCCACCCCCACCACAGGCCCTGGGTGGGGAATTCTACAGCCTGACAGAGCATCCATCCCCAGGTCCTAGGGCTTCTGGAACTCAGCTTTGAACCGGTCTCTAGGACTGGCAGAGGACAAGCCTGTGTCCTAACAATGCTACCTGTTTCTGAGGAAGGTAGTTGTGGGGCCAGACAGAGCTGGGGTCAGATTCAGGCTGAACACTAAGTCTCTGCACAACCTGAGCAATTACTCCCTTGTTAAGCCTTAGCTTCCTCTCTGCAAGGAGAGGGCGGAAGAACCCCTTTCTCCAGGAGCTGCTGTAAGGCCCACGGCAAGGCTGATGAGTGGCGGGTGGCAGGGCCATAGATCTTGGGCTGTCCTCTCCCACCCAGGCAGCAGAGTTCTGCTATGTTCTGATGGGTCAGCCTGGACTTGAGGCTGCAGCCAGCGACTCACCTTGCTGCAAAGCAGGGACATGAGGAAATAGTCCAGCAGAAAGCCCTGGGAGAGACGCGGGTAGTCGAAGTGGAAGAGCAGGACGGTGAAAGCCAAGGTCAGGTACTGCTGGGGTGGGCAACAGAAGGCTGAGCGCAGCAGCTTCAGCCCCGCCACTGTCATCAGCAGTGCCCGACAGCTGGGGGAAAAGAGCAGGCAGTTCAGAGATGGGCAGGACACAGGGAGCAATGGATACAAATAGCCTAGTTCTTGCCAACCTGGCCTGAGCAAACCCCAGGTTCCAGTTCTCTGCTGGACTAGCCAGTTCTTTGGGGCTAGTACTGCCTAGGCTCAGTCCGTCTAGAAGGGCAAAGGAAGACCTGCTCAAATGGATACTGATCAAAGCAAGGATCTACTTTGGTTGCTGGGTACCACTCATTGCCTTTCTGGGCCTCAGTTTTCCCAACTGGGAATTGAATGGGAGAGAGGGAGATAACACAGTTCTCACTAGAGGCAGAACTTGTCCGGCTGGCTGACGACGGTGTGGGCATCCACTGTGAGAGCGTTGAGCACCACAGCAGGGTAGATGAGGTACTTCTCCACACACTGAAGGATGGCATACAGCTTCTCAAACCACATCACCTGAGCAGCACCTGCAGTGAGAAAGCCAGACTATAAGTCCTCACCTGGCCTTCCACTTCCCTGGGGCCCAGAGAGGACCTGGAAGAGAGAGCAAACCAAGCCTTGGACTGTCCTGGGTCTCTAGAGACTCTAGCAAATGGGAAGGGATTGATCCCTGGCAGCTTGGAATAGGACAAGTGTTCCATGTGTCACTGAGCTAGGTATGGGCTTCAGGCAGGTACTTTGCTCTGTTTTGCCACATGCAGAAACAAAGCCCCCATGAAACCCTCAGATGCCAACTGAAGATGGTCAAGGTTATGTACAGCACGTTGAAGGGGCCAGGTATGGAGTGACCCTGAGCTGCAGGCCCTTCTGAGGGGTAAGATCTCCTATTGTTTAAGAATGACAGTGGCAGGGCTGGGAAGGTGGCTCAGTGGTAGAGCGCTTGTCTTGCATGCATGAGGCCCTGGGTTCCATTCCTCAGCACCACATAAGCAAAAGAGAAAAAAACTGGAAGTGGCTCAAGTGGTAGAGTGCTAGCCTTGAGCTGAAGAGCTGAGGGACAGCGCCCAGGCCCAGAGTTCAGGCCCTACGACTGGACCAAAAAAAAAAAAAGAATGAATGACAGTGGCTCACACCTGTCATCTCAGCTACTCAGGAGCCAGACGTCGGGAGGGCTGCTGAGACCAGCCCAAGCTAAAAACTAAAAAATTAAAAAAATACATGTATTGGTTGAGAACCATCTCAACCAATAAAAGCTGCATCTGGTGGTCCATGCCTGTCATCCCAGACAGGTAGCAGGCATAAATAGGAAGCCAGCATAGTTGAAGCCAGCATAAACTCAAGACTCTACTCAAAGCTGGGAGCCGGTGGCTCACACCTGTAATCCTAGCTACTCAGGAGGCTGAGATCTAAGAATCGTGGTTCAAAGCCAGCTCGGGCAAGGAAAGTCAGTGAGACTCTTATCACGAATTAACCACCAGAAGACCAGAAGTGGTGCTGTGGCTCAAGTGGTAGAGTGCTATCCTTGAGCTGAAGAGCTTAGGGACAGCGCCCAGACCCAGAGTTCAAGCCCCATGAGTGACAAAAGAAAAAAGAAAAAAGACTCTACTCAAAAATGAACAAAGGGGCTGGGAAGGTGGCTCAGTAGTAGAGCGCTTGCCTTGCATGCATGAGGCCCTGAGTTCAATTCCCCAGCACCACATAAGCAAAAAGAAAAAAAGCCAGAAGTGGTGCTGTGGCTCAAGTGGTAGAGCGCTAGCCTTGAGCTGAAGAGTTGAGGGACAGTGCCCAGACCCAGAGTTCAGGCCCCATGACTGGACCCAAAAAATAAATAAATAAATAAAAATGAACAAAGGTAGATCAGACACCAGTGACTTCGGAAGACTGGAATCTAAGCATCGCAGTTTGAAGCCAGCTAGGTAGACAAATCCTTGAGACTTATCTCCAACTGACCAACAAAAAGTAACAACAAGTAGGCCATTCATTCGCCTAGCAAGAGCAAGGTCCTAAGTTCAAACCTCCTGTACCTTCAAACAATCTCACTAAGGAGTGTGATCTTCATATCACAAATGAAGGTGTTTAGATATAAGCTGGAGGATCATTCGAACCCTTACACAGCCCAGTCTTAAGTCTACTAGTTGCATTTGCAATTCAGGACGAGAGATTACTTTGGGGCTCTGAAATTCCTCTTTTCCCACCTCCTCATAGGCCGGATAACGACAGCAGGGGCTGGATCAGGGCAGAGGGAAGAGCAGAGCAGTGGTGTGCAGCATAGGCAACACCTGCTTGCTGTCTTGCTGTCTCTTGGCACCCTGAGCTTAGAGGACCACAACTGTCACCAGATCGTGCTCCAGCCTGAACATACGGCCAGGCGGAGCACAGGGGCCAGGAGGTGGCAGGCAGCCTCAGGGGTACCACTCACCGCGCACTTCATACTGGCTGTACTCCAGCGGCTTCAGCACGGGCTGCGAGAGGCAGAACCAGGGCAGCTGTTTGCGGAGCTGCGGCAGCAGGTAATGCGTGAAGAAGCCCACAGCTCCAGCCAGGGCGTACAACACGAAACCCAGCACTGACTGCAAGAGAGAGAGAGACGCCGGATGTCAGCCCAGGGCTCAGCCACCTTGCAGTCCAACAAGTCAAGACTACAGTGGGAGGCCTGTGCCACACAAACCTTCAGGGCGATGAAGACGGTGCTGGCGCTGATGGCGAAAGTGAGGACAGCAATCACCACGCACATCACCAGGTCAGAGTGCAGGACCTCTCGCTGCAGGACCAGGAAAGACAGCGCGGCTGGGCCCCTCTGAGCCGGCACACCCAACCTGGGTATACTATCCCTGCCCACCACCTCCACCCCTGCACCAGCTCTACCCCCTCACCACCGACTGGCGCATCTTTTCTGGCAGTGGGTCTGGGGGCTCGGACCGGGCTGTCTCCAGGCTCCGTTCCTCTAGTTCAGGAAAGATCTTGCTCCGAACCAGAGACCTGGGGAGGAGAAAGACTCAGGGGCCAAGACTAAGGTGGTCACCCCTTCCTCCAACAGTCTGATCCATCAATCACCGATAGATCCGTCACAGGTGCATGCACCAACTCCCCACCCCCGTCATGCACAGATACACACCCACACCCACGGAGCACACACATGTGCACACGGATAGGCACATGCAGCACCCACCAGAGCACGGTGGGGTCACTGCTCTGCCGGCTCAGGTGGTAGGACAGCGCCACCAGGAGGCCACAGAAGACGGAGAAGAGGACAGGGACGTGCTGCTCTGGCCATGGAGTCTGGGGAGAGAACCCATGCTGCTCAGGGGAGGCAGGGCGAAGCACTGGGGACAGGGGCGCACCCGTGTGAGAAGCCACTGCCGAGCTCACCTCACAGCCCTGTCCCCATAACCCCGGTATGCCTCAGCATCTCAGCCAGCCACGGGCCACCCCTACCTTGATGGCTCCAAGGCAGAAGCCGTAGAGCAGGGCGGCAGCCAACAGGCTTCGGGCAAGGCTGAAGACTGCAGTGAGCGGGCTGGTGGCGGCTGTGTTGAAGGAAGGAGAAGGTAAAGCCCAGCTCTAACCTGCTGGCATCTCTCCCTCACCCGACCCATTGCCCTTCAACCACCAGGGACTGGCTTCTTGGTGTACCATCCTTAGCCCAGAGACTATGGCATTCTGATACCACTTGCCCAGGGAAGGGAGGGGAGAAGAGGGAACAGGCCCCCATGTTCATGGCAATGCCATAGAGGCTCAGCAAGGCTGGGGCCATCAACACCATGTGTGGACCCTACTGGGTCCATTCTGCCTGCAGACCCAAGCCATCTATGGGAATCATACCTGTGCCCCCAAAGCCGTGCATATCTATCTGCTCCAGCAGATACATGAGGCAGGTGTTGACCTGGGGCAGGAGGCCCAGGAGGAAGACGAACGGGAAGCACAAGGTGAACACTGGCCAGGAGGGGAAAAGGGAAAGGGAAGGCTGGTTAGCATGCTGGCCTGCCCTGGACCTGCCCTCCAGGGCTTTTCCCCCACCTCCATCTTTGGCCTGCGCAGACTCACCAGTGGCCACATCTCGGGCACAGAAGAAGAAGGAGGCAGAGAAAAGTGTGAGGCCATAAAGGGAGACGGGTGGGAAGGGCTGAGCTGAGCCCAGGGCGTCTAGCAGCCAGATGAGCAAACAGCAGATGCAGAAGTAGACAGGCCGGCTGTAGGCAATTACCCAGTTGTGGCCCTGGGGAATTAAGACAATAGGAAGCTGGGTTTTTCTACTAACCCCCACAGGCACATGCACACAGGCAAGGCCCCAGGCCTGGCTGTGGGGCCTAGCTAAAGAGTGGGAGCAGGGTGCTAAGGGAGCTCTGTCCCTCCCCCTCCGTCTTCTCCCAGGACCTTTTGGCTGGAAGCCCTGCTCCACAGGTACTCACGTGCATGGGTGAGGCTGCATCAGGCTGCACACTCTAGAAGAGATAAGGATGTGATAGCAGTGAGGGTCCGTATCCATAGAAGGGCAAGACTCCAGGACCTGCTCTACTACTGGGCAGTGATCAAGACAAGGACTGAGAAGTTTTGTTTTGTTTTTGTCAGTCCTGAGGCTTGAACTCTGGGCCTGGGTACTGTCCCTCAGATCTTCACCTCAAGGCTAGCACTCTACCATTTAAGTCACAGTTCCACTTCTGGTTTTCTGGAGATAAGAGTCTCAGACTTTCTTGTCTGGGATGGCTTTGAACCACAATCTACAGATCTTAGCCTCTTGAGTTGCTAGGATTACAGGTGTGAGCCACCAGTGCCGAGCCTAGGAAGTGACTTGAGCCTCCAGGTTCTTGCTTGTCAGATAGGTGGCTGGCTATAGTGACCTTAATTATTTGATTTCCTTCCTAGCTCCCACCCTTCAGACCTGGAGAAGTGGGAAGGGGAAGGCCTGGGAAAGCTGGGGGTAAGGAGGCACGGGAGACCGGCCTGACCTTGAGCAAGGAGTACTGGCAGGAGGCGATGACCAGACAGAACTGGAAGACCCAGATGTCGGTGAAGAAGCCCTTGAGCAGCAGCAGGTAGCCCAGAAAGGCAACCAGGCTGCTTAGCCCGATGCCGAAGATGTTCTCCATCACCCCCCGTGTCCTGTGGAGACAGGAGAGTCAGGGAACAGCTTTTCCTAAAAGGTCACCTCTGGAGGTAGGGGTAGAAGTCATGTCGTACCTGCTCTATAAAGCCATCCCTTCACTACCACGGGTTCTAACCTTTGTCCCTCTAGAAGTGAGGGCTTGAGTGCCACCAGTCCTGGGACTTGCCCATATCCAGCTCACATGGACACAGGGCCACAGTGTACACAGCATCAGGCATGCCCTAGGGCAGGGCTCCAGCAGCACCCAGTCACAATGCTAGGAAAACAACCAGTCCAAACCAGCAGACAACAAATGTCATCTGGCTCCTATGTCTGACTGTCTGGACCTCTATTTCTCCTCTGAGAAATGGGTGAATTACAAAAGGTTTGTGATCATGTTTACAGGATATAGCATTAAATTTTCAAATCAAATCAAACCCAAAAAAGAAAATAAAGCCCGCCACTGGTAGCTCATGCCTGTAATCCTAGCTACTCAGGAGGCTGAGATCTGAGGATCACAGTTCAAAGCCAGCTCAAGCAAGAAAGTCCGTGAGACTCTTACCTCCAATCAACCCCAAAAAACTGGAAATGGAACTGTGGCTCAAAGTAGTAGAATACTAGCCTTCAGCAAAAGAGCTCAGAAACAGAGCTCAGGCCTTGAGTTCAAGCCCTATGACCACCACTACCACCACTACTACAACAAAAAGAGTATAGGAGGCTGGGAAGGTGGCTTAGTGGTAAGAGTGCTTTCCTTGCATGCACTGGGTTTGATTCCTCAGCACCACATAAGCAGAAAAAGCCGGAAGTGGGGCTGTGGCTCAAGTGGTAGAGTGCTAGCCTTGAGCTGAAGATCTGGAGGACAGCACCCAGGCCCAGAGTTCAGGCCCCAGGACTGGCCAAAAGATAAGAGAAAGAAAGAGTATAGGGATCATGAGCACGGCTTTGGGAGAGGGGTTATGACACACCCCTACTCTGCCACTCTTTGTCCTCCTCAGAGGAGCCTGGTGGGAACCCTCACTCCCCCGTGTAGGGGCTGGTAGCAGTGGTGCATGTCTGTAATCACAACTACAGGAAAGGCATAGGTAGGAAGACTGTGGTCTGAGGCTGGCCCCAGAAAAAACTCAAGACCCTAATTGGAAAATAACCTAAAGCAAAAAGGGCTGGAGGTGTGGCTCAGTGATAAGAGTACCCACCTAGCAAGCAAACATAAGGCTCTGAGTTCAAACCACAATACTGCCCCTTCTTCCCAAAAATATAAAATAAAAAGAAAAGAAACCCATAGTAGACTCTAGCCAGCAGGTGAGTCAGTTTCTTAGACTCTCAACAGGTTGAGTCTGGAAGGCCCTGGGACTTTCTGGCAGAGACCAAGGCAGGTGTGCACTCACCGGTCCAGCAGGGCCAGCAGGGCGAGCCGCTCATAGCGCACAGAGGTCCAGCGGCCAGGAAAAAGCCAGTACTTGTAGCTGTGCTGGGCACGGGGCGGCGCCTCCTCCATCAGAGTCTGCTCCTGGGATTCGTGCAGGGAGTCCTGGTCCAGCAGGTCAAACTGCAGTCCCCACAGCCGCAGCCATCAGCCCTGCCACCCCCGTGGCCTATCGCCACCCTTTCCCCCAGCACACAGAACTGGATGACCACTTCCTTCAAACTTGATATTCCCATTGCTAGGGACCTGCGGCCCGCCCTGACCCTCTATCACCAGACCCTGCTCCAGGTTCCCAGGACAGAGCCCAATGGCAGAGTCACAGACTTCTGTGTCCATCTTCCCCACGCAGGCAGAGTGGATTTCAGGAACTGGCCCACACGCTATTTGCTCCATCACGGAGCCACTGCTGACACTGTGATCACTGCACTGTGGAGTAGGTGCCTGGCCCTGAAGACAGGCCTGAGCGCCGGTGCTGGTGCTCTGGGTCCCAAACTACTTTCACTCTTTGTTCAATAAGTATTCCTGGGGCACAGCTGTGGGACTAGTGTTGAGGAATCTGAGACGCACTGCCCCTGCCGCAGGATGACCAGGAGCCAAGCACCAGTGTGGCTCACACCTATAGTCTAGCTACTCAAGAGGCAGAGAAGTAGAGGATCATGGTTTGAAGTCAGCCCAGGCAGACAAAGTCTATGAGACTCCACTTCTAATAACCAGTAAAAAGGCCAGACTGGAGACAAAGCTCAAGTGGTAGAGTGCTAGCCCTGAGCAAGAAAAACCAGAGCTCAAGGCCAAGTTCAAGCCCCAGTACTGTCCAAAAAAAAAAAAGCAAATAAAAGCCAGGTACAGTGGCTCCTGTCTTTGTCCCCAGTTATTCAGGAGGCAGAAATGAGGAGAATCAAGGGTCAAGGCAGGTCCGAGCAAAAAGTTAGCAAGACCTCACTTATTTCAACATATGCCTCTGCTCTTAGCTGTGTAGGAGACATAAGCAGGAGGCAAGGTGGCTCAGTGGTAGATGCTTGCCTTGCATGTGTGAGGCCCTCGGTTCAATTCCTCAGCACCACATAAGCAGAAAAAGCTGGAAGTGGAGCTGTGGCTCAAATGGTAGAACACTAGCCTTGAGCTGAAGAGCTAAGGGACAACACCCAGGCCCAGAGTTAAGGCCCCACAACCAAGGGATTAAAAAGAATCCTATATAAAATATAAGGAAAGCAAAAAAAGGACTGAGTCCATAGTTTAAGCCTCCCAAGTGTGATGCCCTGAATTAAAATCTCAGTGTTACCTCCATCCATCCTTTACTCAATCAGGAAAGGGTCCAGCGAAGCTTCTAGAATTTTAGTCTACCCGTGGCCTTGCATGTCAGATACATGAGTATACTTCTTATGATTATTCTCTGTAAGTTCTGAGATCATGTTGGAGTTTTCTGGTTGTGTTTTACTTGAGACAAGGTTTCAGGGTGCTGCACAGGCTGGCCTCTGAACTGCCTCTCACTGCAGAGTAGCTAGGCTTATAGGTAAAAACCAACTTTTTATTTTACTATTGTTGATACAGTCCTGGAGCTTGAATTTAGGGCCTGGGCACTGAGTTTTGTTTTTTGACTCAAGACCACATCCCCACTTCCAGCTTTTTGGGAATTAACTGAAGAGTCTCACAGACTTTTCTGCCTGGGCTGCCTTTAACTGCAACTCTCAAATCTCAGCCTCTTAGTAGCTAGGATTACAGACATGAGCCACTGGTGCTCAGCAAGGTCCAATTATTTTTATACACTCTTATTGCTTGCTAATAATTGATGGGCTGTGTCATTATTATCCAAATGGGGTTCTCTTTAGGAACGAAAAGGGACACTAACAGCAAGTAGACTAAAATAAAGAGTGCTAATAAACAACACCCAAGCAATCATACTTGTGAAGTGCAGAACACAGCACACATTGCCGCCACAATCTGGCACATTGGGCAGCCTCTTCCTCAGGTGTCTGTACCCATCATCTTTTTAAACTGTAGGTTGTTCCAAGATCAGGAAATACTCCAGACACACACATTAATACAAGCAAACAGTCTGTAATCCTAACTACCCAGAGGACTGAGACCTAAAGATCACAGTTTGAAGCTAACCTGGGTAGTAAAGCACATGAAACTCTTACCTCCAATTAACCAGCAAAAAGCTAGAAGTAGAGCAGTGGCCCAAGTGGCAGAGCACTAGCTTTGAGCAAAAAAGAGACAGTGCCCAGGCCTTGACAGTGCCCAGCCCCAATGCCAGCACAAAAAATAAAATAAGTGAAGATACAAAAGTAGAGGAATGGTTCAAGTGGTAGAGTGCCAGCCAAAAGCAAACAAGATGAGCAAAAACAAGAGGCCCTGAGTTCACACACTACCACCAGCATAAACAAAAAGTCAACCTATGACTTCCTGAACCGTTCAGCTCCAAGGGCTGTGCACCCTCTGCTGGCCGTCAAAGGCTGGGATGGACAGTGGAACCCAAGAGCACTCCCTCAGGTGACCTGTCCCTCCTGACACCTAGGTTAATCTCAGTGACCTGCTCACATTCTTACTCCCCGACCCCTTCCCCCTGGCTCAGCCCTTCACAGCTTCTCCTCACCTCTGGAATCTCCAGGGGCACCCGGCGCACCTGCATGCCCTGCAGAACCACTGGCCTGGGCTGTAGCAGGTTCAGACCTCCTGTAGCCTCAGGGACATCAGCCGAGTGGAAACTAGAGGAATGTGAGTGGCGGTCCCTGTGGGTACAGCAGCCATGAGAGGGGCAAGGCCATGGGCAGGGCACGGGCCTGGGTGGGGCAGAGACGAAGGCCAGGCAGGTGAGGCTGCTTGTCTCGTGACTGGGGGCCAAAGGGACAGGATGCTGGGGTCAGGAGGAGGAAGGCAGGCTCTGGCTCAAAAGCTGAGGCTGGGCCTCCTCTCTGGGATGCCAAACCTCAGCTTCCTGGAAGCCTCCTGCTTGGAGCCTGGGGCGCGCTAGAGATCTGCACTTTGCAGGCCCCCGACCTCCCCTGCTAGGTCTGAGCTGCTCGTGCCGCACACCAACAAAGGAAAAGAGAACTCCAAGCTCAGGGTGCTTCCTAGAAACTCAGCCTGCCAGGCCCGGGCTTATGCAGACCTACCCAAAGACTCACCAGGCTCCATTGGCTGCCTGCTCCCCCTGCTGCCCCACAGGGTTCTCGTAGCCACCTCCAGCCAGGCCAAAGGTGTAGGAACGACGCACACCTGGGACAGAGGTATGGGAGACGAGGAGGCGTGTCAGGGACAGGAGCGCCACAGCCCGACCTACGTGAGCATCAAAGCCAACGAATGAGGAGGAACCCTGTGAGGTGTCGCCTGTCGTGGCGGCACAGCCTCTGGGGACAAGGGTTGGACCAGCCTCTGCTGGGACTGAAGGCCAAGAGCCTGGGTCCTGCAGTCAGCCCACCCTGGATCTGGCTCTCAGTTCTACCACTTGCTCAGCCTGTGCCTCGGTTTCCTCATCAGCTGAGCAGAGAGGAGTGCACCCATGCCTCGGAGATGCTGCAACATGGTGCCAGCAGCATGGCTGAGGCGCTTGCCAGACACCCAAGGGAGGAGTGAAGGACCAGCAGTGCAGGTGCTGGGTGAGCTGCCCGCGTGGGGAAGGAGGAGCTCCTGGGCAGATTAGGAAAGGGCTCACCGCTCTCATCGTAGAAATAGTGCACGGCCCCCTCCGAGGTGTCGTCAAAGGTGCAGGCCTCATGCACATTGGCGCCAGCCCGGGTGAGCAGCAGTGAAGAGGCGAAGTGCAAGGCGGATGGCAGTGTCAGTGCCCGGGAGTGGGAGGCAGCTCTGCCCCGCTGAGCCTCCTGCAGACTGCTGGGGAGGGGCCGGCTATGGGTTAGCACCAGGGGAAGCCAGCTGCTCCCTCCGCCCTACAGCCCAGGTGGCAGATGCTCACCTGGGTGGCGAGCCCATGACAGAGGCCGGCGGGGTGGGGTTACTGCCTGCATTATGACGTCTCCGGATGGCCTGTGTCCGCCTCACGTTACTTGAGTGGTCTCGCTTGCCCGTCTCCTCAGCTGCTGACCAGAGAGAGGCCCCAAAGCGTAAGTGACAGAGCCTTGAACAGAGCTGGGGGATGGAGTGGGGCCACGTGCTCCAGCATGGAGCTAAAGGTCAGACCTAGTGCAGCAACATTCTGGCTTGGGGCCCAGCCAGGTCATCTATAGCCACTCGTGCCTCGGTTTCCTCATTTGGAAATAAGGATGACACTGATCTGCCCTGCCCCACTGGTGGCCCGGAAGATGAGCGTGGACGATGGGAGTCCTCGGGAAGCAGAGGCTTAGGTGCTAACCACGGGACCTGGAGCCAGGCAGCTGGGCCCTGCTGACCCAAGAAGGGTGGCCCACACATCAATCGTCAAGATCACGGCCATGGGCCTCCTAAGCAGGTCTGCTCCAGCCCACACCCTGCCCAAACCCACGCCCCCCCCCCCAACTCCCATCCCGGAGCCAGCACTCACCTCCCCCCACAGCACCTTCCTCCTGCAGCTCCCCCCTCCAGCCGGGCTGGTTAGCAGCAGGTCCCCTACGGGGCTCAGCAGGCACCACAGCAGGCTCACCGGTAACCAGCTCCACTCCTGCCTGGGCCTCCAGCTCGGCCTTGGAGCCTGCCAGGGGAGCCCTTAGGACATCCCCCCCTGCCGCATCCATGCTCAGCACGCGCGCATGCGTTTTGGCACTGGCAGTACTGGGCGTCCGCTGGGTCCCATAGGGACGCTTAGGGGGGACAGCAGTGCCTTCCTCAGCCCCGTGAGGAGCCCGGCGCTTCCGAGGCCCCCCTGCTGCACCCCGGGAGCTCTCAGGGGAGTAGCAAGAAGTGGAAGAAGAGCTGTCATCGGTACTGTAGCGGCGCTGCGATCGCAGACTAGAGGCTGGGCTCAGCTCACTGCCCTCACTGGTGTCTTCATCCTCAAAGAAGCCTGCACCCTCGAGCAGGGGGCGTCTAGGGGCACGGCTGGGTGGGGAATGTCTTCGCACAGGTGGCCGCCGTTTGCTAGGCCGAAGCAGGGCCAAGTCCTTGGGTCGTACAACCATGAGTGGTTCAGTTGGACCTGGGGGTGTCCCTGCTCCGATGACCGTGTCAAAGGACCGCAGGGTATCATCGGAGGGTACCCCAGCATCTGGTGAAGCAGGCAGCTCAGCCTCCGAGGGGGGGTCTGTGTCACTGCCCTCAGGAGCTTGTCCGCCAGGGGGGCTATCCAGGTGGGTTGAGTTGGTCTTCTCACTCTTGAAGCTGCTCAGTGTCTCCCTGTCTGTGCCACTGAAGCATGAATCTGAGGAGCCGGCTTTCTGGGGCATGGGCTCACTGGAGCCCCGCCGGTCCAGGGGCTGGTAACCTCCAGCGCCCCGGCGATGTTCCCTTCGGCTGCTGGTCCTTACTAGGGCCCGGTCAGGCCGGGTCAGAGTCAGGAAGCTCTTGCTCAGCTCCTGGCTTAGGCTCCCCTTCAGTAAAGGGCTCATGGGTGTATCCACCACACTGCTCCCACCCCAGGGAGCTCCATCTCCAGCCAGGGGAGAACGCTCTGAAGAGTCTGTGCTGGGGAAAGAGGGGTCTGGGATAACCCCTGGGGGTGTCTGGGGAAGATCGCCAACTGCCAGAAAAAAGGAAGACAAAAAAAAAATGAGACAACAGCATTTTGCATGGGAACCTGGTGGCTGGGGATTTTGCACAACCTCTGCTTCCCCTGAGCACGGTCAGGGCAGGAACACTGAGGAGGTCCTGTCCAACAGTAGGAAAGGAGCCCCAGAATGGAGCCAAAGTTGGGGTGATGCAAAGACAGGAAAGGTAGCCTTCCACTCAGGCGCTATTCTATAATGCCCACTCACTCAGTTTCTCTTGGGAACTGAGCTTCAGCATCTCTCGATCGGCAGAGGTCACGATCACATTGTTGCTGCCCTGCTCTCGCACCAGCTCCTTGATGTCTGCAACCATGGCACAACAGGTTATCAGTAGGACCCTAGGGTAGTCTCATCCCATCCCCCTCAACGCCACCACACCCTAGCCCTGAGTGGCAGCCACCTACCTCTGAGGGGCCCAGAGTCCTCCATTCGAGGCAGCAATTCCTGAGTAGGTAGAAAGGGACACAAAGGAGCAAAAAGGACAAGAATCACACTTAGGCTCCCTGCCTCAACTGGGACTGATTCCCAGGAGAACAGTGGGAATAGCCACAGTATGGGACCACTCACCGAGACTTGGTTGAAGCCGAACACAGAATGCTGGGAACTGCAGCGTACTGGGGGTGTGGAACTCACTTTCCGAAACACTGTCATCTCTACACCAGGGTCCCTGGCAGGGGAAGGAGAAACAACTTTCTCCTGTCTTGATGATGACTAACTACCCACACCATTCCCTCCTCTCCCAGGATCCCTTCCAATCCCAGGGCAAGTGTGCACATTCACTTGGAACCAATGAGCCCTTGGCCCACGCCATCCTCCAAGGCTCAGGACCAGACACCAACAAAAGCTGTGATTCCCCAATCCAGCCAGTGCCCCACCCACCTGGGCAGACTGCTGTCCCCCTGGGCAGGCTCCTCCTCCTGTTCTCCCATGGTAGAGTTGCGCTTCTCCACAATTTCGCCCTGGTCGAACATGGCATGCAGCCGATAGTTGACAGTCTTGATGGTAGTGAAGATGACTGCCACCACCAGGCAGTACACACCAGCCACCACCAAGCTGGGGGGTAAGACCTGGAAGGTGCAATAAGTCAGGTCCCTTCTTACACAGCCCAGATGTCTGGGGGTTCACCTGCCACCACTGTCCTCACTATGATTCACAAACTCACAGATAACTGGTACAAAGACTGTGAGAGGGGGCTCTGTCTTCTGCTTAACCGGGACAAGAAATGACATGAGGGGGTCAAGGTCACCCGACCCAGGAAAGTGGGACTATGGCGTCCTTTCTACACACAGCCTAATTCTACAGCCATTCATCTCTCTCCGTGTCCCAGCAGCCAAGATGTGCTCCCAATTCCTGCCAGGCCGCCGGCCCTTCCTGACATCCTGCCCTCCCTTTCCAAGCATGAGTTACAGTAGCGTCTCACCATGTACAGCAAGAAGGGAAAGGTGAGTAGGAAGATCCAGACATAAAGGTGGAAGCAGTTGGAGAAGGTGCTTTGATGCGGATCGAAGAACCAACCGCCAGTGAGCGAGGCCCACACCCCCTGGCGCAGGATCTGCAACACCTGAGACCCCATGGCCCCGCCGCTGCTGCGCGCGTCCTTCTCCCGGGACCCTCATGGGGGCGGCCCCCGGCCCATGCCCCGCTTGGTGCCCGAGGGCCCCGGGGCCCGGCCTCGAGCTCACGCCATGGCCCCCCCCCGCGGGGGAGGGGATCGGCGGGGCGCGGGTGCAGGCAGGGGGCGGGGCCGGTCGGGACAGTCAGAGGTGCGAGGCTCCGGCACAGGGGTGGGGCGGCATCAGGGGCGGGGTCTTGGCCCCCACCCGTGGCTCCGAACCGCTCGGAGGGGCCAAGCCAGTAGGCAGGCGCAGGGCACGGGCCGGGCACTCGTCGGCAACATCCAGAGGTGGGCGTGGAGTGGGTGCTCTCGGAGTGCAGGCGACGGCTCCTTTCTCTCCGGACCTGGGAAAGCCCTAGGACCCTGAGGTCCACTTCCGGGGTCGCAGGTCACTCGCTAGGGGCACGGCGTTCGCCCCGCTTCTGCCGGTGCCGGCCTAAAAGGAAGGCCGGAAGAAGCCGCCAGCCGCCAGCCTGCAGTGGCGCATGCGCCCGATAGCCCTAGTTAGGACCCGGAAAAGGAAAACCCGACAGTAAGAGTGCGCAAGCGCAGAGAGGTGGCGGGGGCGACCAGGAGCCGAAGTCTCCTTTAGGCGTGCGCAGTCGAGCCAAAAGAGTCAGAACTTGGAAGGGCTCGGGCGCATGCGCACACGTAGACCTGGCCAACCTGAGGGAGGCCACGGGGCGGAACCCGGAGGATAGGGGACTAGCCATTGGGTAGCAACGGAGTAATTGGCGCAAAGCTTCGCCAATGAATCGCAGGAGGCGGGGGAAAGACCGGGGCGTGGGTAGACCTTCGACGTCACAGTCGTTGCACCAACTCCGAGCCACCTCTATTTCCGGATTAAACCCAGACCTGACGAGTAGCGAGCGACCCTCTAGAACAGGCAGTAGTAGTCGAATACTAGACTAGGATAGCCTCGTCTTTAAAGTGACAGGTCAAAGCAATTGGGGGCGGGGGAGTCAACCCTTTCCAGCAACAGGTAGGGCTACACCACTAATTCTGAATCCCATTCTGAACAAAATTCTGCACAGCAGTGTCAGATTTCCTCCCACTGGGGAAGAGACTCGAAGAAGCGGATTAACTCCCAGGTGAGGGGAAGAGGAGAGCCTTGGGCCTGTCCCTAGAACTTGAGCAATCGTCGGTTCCGTCGGTCCTCCAGTCTTCCCCACCCCCATCCCCGTCCCAGTAGCTGTGCAAAAACAGAGCTTCTGGTCCCCATTCGAAGCCCAGGGACAGTGGATCACACAGTCCCTGCAACTTCGTAGCCAAAAACCACCTTCGACTTTGCCACCCTCCCGGGTCCGTTTTGCTGCTGCGGCAGGGATGGCCCGTCTCTGCAGAGACCCACTTCCACGCTGGGCCGCGGCGCACCGAGACGGCTGTGGCGGGGGGCCGGAGCTAGCCTTGCAGGTTTTCCGCCTCTCCGGGCCCGCCTCCCCGGGAACTCCCGGGCCCGGCCGTCCGGAGCCTCCGGGAGGGGAGCGGTGCAAGCCGCCCGCGTCATCTGATGCTGTTTCCTGCAAGAGAGAGAAGAGCGGAAAAAAGTGAAACTCCACCCTCCACCTCTGCCTCCCGCCCCCGGGGCCAAAGTACAAAGGGAGGAGGAAGAAGGGAACGGGGTCGGAGCCGTCGGAGCTAAAAGCACTAGAACCGGGGAGAGGGAGCTCCGAGCCTACTGGGGACTTTCTCCAGCCCTGCACCTGAGAACCCCGGCCGGAGTCCGGGCGCTGCCCCCCCACCCCCCGGCAGGCCCCACCTTACCCTTGGCGGGCGCCCAAACCGGGCTCCCCGGACTACTCCCGAACTGAGGGACGCTCAGCCCCTTGAAGCCAGCCATGGTGAGGCGCCGGAGGCCCCGGGGCCCCACCCCTCCAGCCTGACCACACCACCCTGGGTGCCCTCCTCCTGAAGCCCGAGATGCGGGGGACCGGGAGGCAACACTCCCGGCTCCCCAGAGAGGCGTGGGTCTGGGGCTGAGGGCCACGACCCGGATGCCCAGGTTCCCGCACTAGCGCTAGGCAGCCAGCGGGGGTGGGGACCGCGGGCGCCGGGAGAAGGACCCCCACATTCCAACGACGGCTCGGGGCCATGGAGCCCTTGAAGAACCTCTTCCTCAAGAGCCCTCTGGGGTCATGGAACAGCAGTGGCGCTGGGGGCGGCGGGGGTGGGGGCGGAGGCCGGCCGGAGGGATCCCCGAAGGCGGCCGCTTATGCTAACCCTGTGTGGACAGCCCTGTTCGACTATGAGCCCAACGGGCAGGACGAGCTGGCCCTGCGGAAGGGCGACCGTGTGGAGGTGCTGTCCCGGGATGCAGCCATCTCTGGAGATGAGGGCTGGTGGGCAGGCCAGGTGGGTGGCCAGGTGGGCATCTTCCCATCCAACTACGTGTCTCGGGGTGGTGGCCCACCCCCCTGCGAGGTAGCCAGCTTCCAGGAGCTGCGGCTGGAGGAAGTGATCGGCATTGGTGGCTTCGGCAAGGTCTACCGTGGCAGCTGGCGAGGGGAGCTGGTGGCTGTGAAAGCAGCGCGCCAGGACCCCGATGAGGACATCAGCGTGACAGCTGAGAGCGTCCGCCAAGAGGCCCGACTTTTCGCCATGTTAGCCCATCCCAACATCATTGCCCTCAAAGCTGTGTGTCTGGAGGAACCAAATCTCTGCCTAGTGATGGAGTATGCGGCAGGAGGGCCCCTCAGTCGTGCTCTTGCTGGGAGGCGTGTGCCCCCACACGTGCTGGTCAACTGGGCCGTGCAGATTGCCCGTGGGATGCACTACCTGCACTGCGAGGCTCTGGTACCTGTCATCCACCGCGATCTCAAGTCCAACAACAGTGAGTTTCTCTGGGGTGTGGATGGGAAAGGTCGGGAGAGGCGAGGGAGATGGAACCCAGGCACACATCCTAGCTGAGCCTTCTCAGGGATCTGTTGGAGGCAAGAGCCGCTGCCTTAGGGGAATCCCAGTTGACTAAGGGGTACCTGTGGCCTTGCACTGGCCCCAAAGCAGGAATTCCAGGAACCTGGCAGTGTCCTATCCTTGCAGCCTTCCGGGGAAACTGCAGCTTTGGGAAACTTGCGTTAACTTAAGAACTCAGTGTGAGCTGTCAGCGTACTGCCTAGCTGTGCTCACCACCTCAGGAAGTCCCTTGGAGGCTGGTACTCCTCACCTTCCCTCCCTCTGAAGTTTGCATTCATGGTGTTGCTGCTGCTCTGCAATACCCTTCCCTCCTTCATTTTGCCTAATCTATCCTGCATCCGTAGAGAGCTTCTCCCCGACAGAGATCTCAGAGGGAAAAGTCCCTTACTTTCAGCTGCCCCTTACCTGGCCTTTTTTAATTTTTTTTTTTACTCAGAGGCTCTATGTCTGTATTTCCCATAAAAATGAGTGATCAGTAGGCCAAAATGGCTTCATGGCCTGGGTAAGTCCTAGTGAACAGTGCCCAATAAGTAGTCCATGCCTCAGCCATGGACAGGGGCATTTAAGAGCAGGATTGACAAGGGGGCCCAGCCTGGAATCCATGCTTGGGAGTGGGAGCCTGGCTAAGAGAGACTGTCTCTAACCATTTTAGCCCCCCCCCCCCCCACTTCCCATCATAGGCCCAAGACAAGTGAATGACAGGTTCGGAGAGCTTTCTGAAGCAGGCTGGTTTCATGCCAGGCCAAAACAGGTAGCATTTAGAAAGGCGCATGGGAAGTGTCTAGGCAGGGCCTGACCAGAACAGGTCTCAGCACCATGTTGGGGGGGTGGGGGGAAGCGGTGTGTGGACACCGGGAGCTGGACCCCATTGGAATCCAGAGCACAAGCTGGATAGCAGTAGGAAAAATAAGGAAAGCCTCAGTGGGCTCAGAGACTGGGAAGGCACAGAGACTCTTAGGAGATATCAGCATCCATATTTTGAGCCTTCTGGCCTTGGCCGACATGAACAAGGGGCTAGGGGAAGCAGAGCACCAGGACCCAAGTCCTTGCTAGAGCCAGAGGTGCCAGCCAAGGCCAGCAATAGTAGGGGCAGTTCCTGTGTCTCAGCCAGACCCCTGTGAGTGACCTAGGGACCCCCCATTCTCTGCCCTAGCCTGAGGGGGATTCCCCGAAGGCTCAGGAGGTGGGGGCTCCTGTCTTCTGTTTTTCCTCCCTTCTCTTTCCAGAAAAAAATGGAACAATAGTCCAGGCCCCTGCTCCCCACCCTCCCCACCGCTTCCTGTGTTTCCTGCTGCCCCTGGGCTGGCTTCCTGCCCCTGCTCCAGCCCCTGCTCCCTCCCTAGCCCAGCTGCCTGCAGGGGAGGAAAGAGCTGGGGGTGGAGGGGTTTCGGGAGAGGAAGGAACCGGGATTGCTCCCCCATGCTCCCTCCCCCAGTTCCTCTGCTTCCCTTCCAGAGTCTGGGTGGTGGTGAAGGGCAGGCAAGGTGCGTGCTCTTAGCCTCTGAGTCTGGCATCCAACCTCACAGACCCCAGTCCTAGGCCCGAGTTGCTGTCTGCAGGATTGGGGCAGGGGGGAGTCCCTGGGCTGGGGGAGCACAAGCAGGAAACAATGGCATGATTTTCCTGGACAATGGGGGCCTTGTGAGAAAGCCTGGCGGGGAGAGAAGGGGGAATTCTCCAGGCCCACGAGTCACAGGACCAACCAGCCAGCCTAGCCTGGGCCTGACCTCCCCCAATTTGCCCCCAAAGGACCCCCCCTCCCAGTTGGAGACCTGGCCCCAAAAGGAGAAGTAGAGACCATGGGAGGGAAGCGGAAGAGGTGTGAGTTGCCCAAGCTACTCTAGAGCCCCACAAAGGGGGTGGGGAGGTTGGCCAAGTCCCTTTCCAAAGCCAGGGAGCCCCTAATGCCTAGAGTCAGCCTGCTTGCCCCAGCCTGCTAGCCCGTTTCTGCATGGCTCCGTACCTCCCATGCCTTAGGTCTCTGTCACACACCAAGTTCAAGACCCAAGGCCGGCAGCAGGCAGCTTGGAGAAAAAGCAAGCAATACAGAGTTGAGATGGAGGCTTGACAAGTGCCAGAGCTGGAGGTGGGCAGGGACCAGAAAGGCCACAAATACAAAGAAGTCCTGAGACTTGGAGCAAGACTTGGGGCGACTTGCTACTCTGCTCTGATCCTCTGAAAAAAGGAGATTAGCTTCCCTGTTTGACACAGGAGAGCACATTGCCAGTCTGTGGCAGAGATTAGGCCTGGAGGCAACTTCTCCATAGGAGAGATAGGCATTGGCTCCAGAAAGGGAATCTGTGCTCTCCCACCCTGCCTAGCCCGGTGTGGTTCCTTGTGGGTGAGCTTGTGCAGGGCTGACAACTGGTTGGTTCAGAGCCTGCAGCAGCCACACAAGAGGCAACTGAAAAGCTGGAAGTAAAGAATGACTGGGGTAGAGAGAGGAGAGTGGGCCTGCCAGATGTGAAGACAAAATCTGACAAAATCTGGGTGCCAGTGACCTCACATCTGTAATCCTAGCTACTCAGGATGGAGGCTGAGATCTGAGGATTGTGGTTCGAAGCTAGCCCTGGCATGAGTCTATGAGACTCTTACCTAGCTAACCACCAAAAAAAGCCAGAAGTAAGGACTAGGAACGTGGTTTAGTGGTAGAGTGCTTGTCTAGCATGCATGAAGTCCTAGGTTCAATTCCTCACTACACATAAATAGAAAAAGCTGGAAGTAGCACTGTGGCTCAAGTGGTAGAGTGCGAGCCTTCAGCAAAAGAAGCTCAGGGACAGTGCCCAGGCCCTGAGTTCAAGCCCCACCAAGACTTGTTAAAAAAAAAAAAAAGCCAGAAGTAGAGCTATGGCTCAAATGGTGGAGCACTAGCCTTAAACAAAGACCTTTCCTCAGGGATAGCACCCAGGTCTTGATTTCAGGCCCCAGTACCAGCACAAAAGAAAAAATAATCCTGCAAGATGTCAGACCCCAAGCAAAGGCTTTAAAAATCAGTTTGATGCTCATGACAACCCTCTGAGGTGGAATTTGTTGTCATCTTCAGCCTTACTGCCTGTGCAGGACTCAGCCCAAGTCTTGTTCAGTGTAATGAGTGGATTTCGAGACCATTCTCCGAATTAGGAGAAATTACAGAAAAGTTTGCCAGGCACAGAGACACCATAAAGGCTGTTAAGGGTGTATGGAAAAACCAGGTGGAGCAGCTAATAAGCAGCTGAACTGGGCTGCTGATCTGGTCTAGAGCTCTAAGTATGGAAGATGCCAGTGAGGACAGGCAGCTGGCACCTGTAAAAGGCTGAGGCAGACCAGGAGTAATGCGCAGAGGCTGGTAAGAGACGGGGCTCCTAGGAACATTGGAATCAGAGTGAAGTGGTACTGAGAGTGGAAGAGTGCTAAGGAAGCAGAGCCAAGCAGCAGATGCCTTTCGAGCTGAGGCCAGCAGAGAGGGGCAGGGAAGCAGAGACAGAGCCCCTGGCAGGCCCCAAGGCTTCACCAGGATCAGGACCAGGGATTGTGGATTCAGGCTCTCAAACGTGCACACCCTGTCTCCACCTCCTTTGAACAGTCCTTCCTGACTCACCTAGCTGTGTAGGTGCCCTTCCCTAGGTCAGTACGTATGTCACCCCATTGCAGTACTTGATACCCTGTTCAGCACAGCTGAAGGATACCTCTTGACACTTGTGTGGAAAAATTTCACTTCTCTCCCACAGGAGGGCCCTTCAGACCCTTGATGGCTTTCTGATTTTTGTCCCCTTTTTATTCCCTACAACTTCTCTCACTTGAGCTGTTTTTGACCTGGCAAGAAACTTGCAAGTTGCCGCTTTATCTTCCCCGTACTAAGTATGGTGGCCCCATTTGGATCAAAGCCAGGAGCCCCTGCCAAGTCTGACCATCCACTCCTACTTTTGCTGCAGGCTCCTCCTTTGTGGCCAAGAACCATCACCCCTCCCTTTCTCTTCACACGCAGCTGCCTTGGTGGATATCTTTTGGAGTCTTCTGGCTAGGAATGGCTGCCGTAGCCACCATGTGCTGAGAGTACCAAGGGCCTGTGGTGCCTGCTGGCATATTCTATGTGTGTGTGTGTGTGTGTGTGTGTGTGTGTACACACTGGGGTTTAAAGTTAATTAAATTCAGGGACTGGGTGCTGTCCCTTAGTTTTTCTGCTCAAGGCTGGTGCTCTACCACTTGAGTCACAGATCGACTTTTATCTTTTGGTGGTTAATTGAAGAATCTCATGAACTTTCCTGCCTGGGCTGGCTTTGATCCACAATCCTCAGATCTCAGCCTCCTGAGTAGCTAAGATTATAAGTGTGAGCCACTGGACCTGGCTTCTGCATGCCTTCTTTGCTCGCCTAGGACTTCCTGTCTGTTCCCTGTCCCCAGGGGGATTCTGATTCACACTCACTGATGCCACAGACATTGAGAAACTGCTGCATTGCTAGTTTTTTATTCCCTGAAATATTGAAGGAAAGTTAGAACATGAGCTTTGGAGCCACACAGAGGAGGTTGGAATCTCTGCTTTATTTGCTTACAACTTTGGCAAAACTATTTCCTTCTGTTTTCCTCAATTGTAAAATGGGAATAATAATAACCTATCCCATTTATTTATTTTGTAGTGCTGAGATTTTAATTCAGCCTCACACTCTAGGCAGAGTCTACCATGTGAACCACCCCTTAGCTCTGTTTTGTTCTAATTATTTTTCAGATAAGGGCTCAAATTTTTGTCAGGGGCCAGCCTGGTCCTCCATCCCAAAGATCTGGAATAACAGATGTTTGCTAACAACCAGCCTAAAATCTCTATTCTCCAAACCTCTACCATAGCTAGAGGAGAGGCATAAGTCACTGTACCCAGCCTGAAAAGGTCGTGTATGTGTTGTGTGTGTGTTGTGAGGTCATGGAGCTTGAACTCAGCGCCTCAACCCTGTCACTAAGCCTTTTTGCTCAAGACTAGCCCTCTACCAATTGAGCCACAGCTCCACTTCTGGCTTTTTTGGTGGTTAATTGGAGGTAACAGTCTCACAGACTTTCCTTCCTAGGCTGGCTGAGAACCTTGATCCTCAGATCTCAGCTTACTAAGCAGGTAGGATTACAGGGGTGAGCCACAGGTCCCAGCTTGAAAATTTTGTTGTTTTGGATTTGAGTGCTAGAACTAAGTGTAAAATATTGGCCTCCACTAATCCCCGGATAACTGTGTCCCAAATGGTTATTTTGTCTGGTTCTACTCCACACCCCAGCCGTGGGTATGATCTAGAAAAGTCACATCTGTGCACCTAGTTGCCTGCCCAGGACACCTGTCAGATGCTGCAAGCTCTTCACCTGTTCCCACATCTAATCCTGGAACCCCAACAATCCTGCCCTTCTTCCCCAGTTCTGCTGCTACAGCCCATTGAGGGTGACGACATGGAGCATAAGACCCTGAAGATCACTGACTTTGGCCTGGCCCGAGAGTGGCACAAGACCACACAAATGAGTGCTGCCGGCACCTATGCCTGGATGGCACCTGAAGTCATCAAGGCCTCCACCTTCTCTAAGGGCAGCGATGTCTGGAGGTGCGGCCTGGTGGGGACTGGATGGGGTCTGCTGTGGATCTGTGAAGGGTAGCGGTGGTTGCCTAAGCCTAGGAGTAGGCACTGGCTGAGCCCAGAGAAAGGGCCTCAGTTTAGTTCCTCCTTGCTTTGGGGTGTAGTGTCAGTAAGTAGGCAGAAGAGGCCACCCAGACTCTTTGTCTTACTCACAGCTTTGGGGTGCTTCTGTGGGAACTACTGACTGGGGAGGTGCCCTACCGAGGTATCGACTGTCTTGCCGTGGCCTATGGTGTGGCCGTTAACAAGCTCACATTGCCCATCCCGTCCACCTGCCCCGAACCCTTTGCACAGCTCATGGCCGGTAAGAGGGCAGGGTGGGCAGATGAGGGACCAAATTTACTGGCCCAGGACACCTCCAATTCACACGTCCCTCTTCCCTGACGTGCCCATAGACTGCTGGGCGCAGGACCCCCACCGCAGGCCGGACTTCGCCTCCATCCTGCAGCAGTTGGAGGCGCTAGAAGCGCAGGTCCTGCGGGAGATGCCGCGGGACTCTTTCCATTCCATGCAGGAGGGCTGGAAACGAGAGATCCAGGGCCTCTTCGACGAGCTGCGGGCCAAGGAAAAGGTACGAGGAATCGGAGGACCCAGGAACCGAACCAGTGTTTCCCTGGTGGAGGTGGGCGCCGGGGTCAGTACTGGGCTGACCCTGACGTCTTCGCTGTTCCGGAGCGCAGGAGCTCCTGAGCCGCGAGGAGGAGCTGACGCGTGCGGCCCGCGAGCAGCGATCGCAAGCGGAGCAGCTGCGGCGGCGAGAGCACCTGCTGGCCCAGTGGGAGCTGGAGGTGTTCGAGCGCGAGCTGACGCTGCTCCTGCAGCAGGTGGACCGCGAACGGCCACACGTGCGCCGCCGCCGGGGCACTTTCAAGCGCAGCAAGCTCCGGGCGCGCGACGGCGGCGAGCGCATCAGCATGCCCCTCGGTAAGGGGCGGGCCCGAGAGCGCCTCTCAGCTATTGGCTGCTGGCGCCAGGGGGCGGGGATGTCTATCCCATTGGCTGTTTTGGAAAGAGGGGTGTGGCCTCGGGCTGCTTGATGCACCGGGATTGGTTGTAGCGTGTGATAGGTTGATCCTTGAGTTGAAGGCTAAGAAGGGGTGGCACCCGGAATGTTTTTCCTGTCTGGGCGGGTTCGGGAGGGAATATTTTCACGTTGACCTGGGAGTGGCTGCGATCGGGAAGGGGCGGGGCTGTTGAAAGTTCTAGGAAGGCTTGTGGGAGGGCGGGAGAAAGGCGGCGCGCGGGGAACCTCCGACTCCACCCAGCAAGGCGAGTGCTTGAGTGACAGGTGGTCCTATCTCCTTTCCGCCCCCCAACTTTGCAAAGGCAGTGAGAAGAGACTGCTGTCACTCTCAGCGCCTTCCTGCATAGTCCGAGAGCTTCCCCAGGGCCCCAGGAAGTCCTGGCTCTCCTTCACAGACTCGCATCTGCTCCCCTTTTTCCCTGCACCCCAGATTTCAAGCACCGCATCACTGTGCAAGCATCACCTGGCCTTGACCGCAGGAGAAATGTCTTCGAGGTTGGGGCTGGGGACTCGCCCACCTTTCCTCGGTTCCGAGCCATACAATGTAAGATACCTGGCCTCCCTAGCCCGCTCCCACGTCCTAACCCCTAGCAACCCTCATTCTTGGAAGTGAAAACCACCACCCCCTTTCTTCCACTTCTAGGCTCCCCCCCCCCCCCCCATCTAGTGCCTCACACTAATTATGTTAGGTAAATATCATTGCTATTTAAGTTCTGATGATAAGAAAAGTAAAAATGTTTTTCAACATAACGGTAAGTGGCCCAGCTAAAATTCAAACTCAGGCAGTTGGCTTTGCTGTACTTATTTCTATGTAGTATATAACAGCTGCAAGGGCTGGAAAGGTGGCTCAGTGGTAGAGCGCTTGCCTTGCATGCATGAGGCCCTGGGTTCGATTCCTCAGCACCACATAAGCAGAAAAAAAAGCCGGAAGTGGCGCTGTGGCTCAAGTGGTAGAGCGCTAGTCTTGAGCTGAAGAGCTGAGGGACAGTGCCCAGGCCCAGAGTTCAGGCCCACGACCCGACCCAAAAAGAAACACACACACACACACACACACACAAAAAGCTGCTAGACTGAGATTTCTGCATTGGTGGCCCATGCCTGTCATCCTAGGTATTCAGGATGCTGAGATCTGAAGATCTCAGTTCAAAGCCAGCCTGGGCAGGAAAGTCCATGAGACTTATCTCTGATTAACCAACAAAAAGGCCAAGTATAGCTGTGGCTCAACTGGTAGAACAATAATTTTAAGCAAAAAATCAAAGGGACAGCAACCAGGTCCTGAGTTCAAGCCCTACTTCTGCTCCCCCCCCAGCCAAAAAAACAAAAACAACAAAACACCACAACAAGAACAAAGACTAATGAGATGTTCCACTTTACTTCTGGCCCCGAGACCCAGACTCACCTATCCTCAGTGAAGCCCACACTGAGAATGATGAGGAGCTTACTAACTGTCCCCATCTTCCAGAGTTGCCTTGGAGTCTGACTGTCATGACCGGGTTGGGAGAGAGGAAGACAGGGTCAGCTCATAGTCTTATCTGGTTCCCTTACAGTGGAGCCCGCAGAGCCAGGCCAGACGTGGGGCCGCCAATCTCCCAGACGTCTGGAGGACTCGAGCAATGGAGAGCGGCGAGCATGCTGGGCCTGGGGTCCCAGTTCCCCCAAGCCTGGGGAGGCCCAGAATGGGAGGTAAACACCCCCCTTCCACCTCAGGATTGTGCTCCTCCCCACAAACCTGAGACTCACCCCCTCCCCTCCTTTCCTTCTCCAGGAGAAGATCTCGTATGGACGAAGCCACGTGGTACCTGGATTCAGATGATTCATCCCCCTTAGGATCTCCTTCCACACCCCCAACACTCAATGGTAAGTGGCCTTCTCTCCCCTAACGGGATCTTGCTGAGCTTCTTTAGACACTAAGGTAGAACATAAGAAGCCAGGAGGCAGAGGAGGAATCTTGTCCCTCGTTGCACATTCTAGTGATTGACTGAGACAGGACAGAGCCAGGACCACAAGAGAGTGGACACAGCCCAGGCCTCAGGGGGCCCAGAGACTTGTCCCCTTGTTCAAGCATGGGCCTTCAAGGGGGCACCAGTGCTTTGTGCTGTAATCTTAACTACTCAGGGGGAGTAAGTTCTGGAGGATCAAGGTTAAAAGCCAGACTAGACAGAAAAGCCCACAAGACTCCATTTCTAGTTAGCCAGTAAAATGTCAGACTGGAAGTGTGACCCAAAGTGATAGTGTACCAGATGTGAGCAAGCAAGCTGAATGAGTGCAAGAGGCCCTGCGTTCAGGCCCAGAATGGGAACACACACCTGCTGCCCTGTGGCAGCCCTGCCCCACAGCAGGCTCTAGGGAGGAGGGAGGCTCCCTTTGATGGCCCAGAGAAGCAGTGCCTAGGGACCAGAAGGAAACTGCTTATCTGGGGTGAAGCCAAACAAGTGATTTTCACAGGATGTTTCTCAGATGCTCTTCTTTCTTTTTCTTTTTTTTTTTTTTTTTGGTCGGTTGTGGGGCCTGAAAGCTGGGCCTGGGCGCTGTCCCTCAACTCTTCAGCTGAAGGCTAGCACTCTACCACTTGAGCGTCAGCCCCACTTCTGGCTTTTTTTTCTTATGTGGTGCTGAGGAATTGAACCCAGGGCCTCATGCATGTAAGGCAAGCACTCCATCACTGAGCCACCTTCCCAGCCCCTCAGATGCTCTTCTTGGGAGCCCCTGGTGGGGGTGCAGAGGGTAAGAAGGCCCACCAGGCTGGTGGCTAATGCCTATAATCCCTAGCTACCCAGGAGATGGAGATCTAAAGATTACAGTTCTAAGCAGCCTGATCAGAAAAGTCTATAAGGCTCTAATCTCCAATTAATAGCAAAATGCAGAAGTGGAATTGTGCCTCAAGCTGTAGAGCACTGGCCTTGAGCAAAAAAGCCAAGCAAGAGTACAAAGCCCCCAGTTCAAGTACACTGCATCTGGAGAAATCTGGAGTTTTTCTGTTCTCCATGGTAATAGCATCTTCTCTTCTGTCAAGCCCTGTGAGGGACATACTGTTATTTCCCTCATTTTAAAGGAAATTGAGGCTCCAAAAAGAGAAACAACCTGCCTGAAATCTTCAGATTTTGAAGGTTTCAGCCAAGAGAGACTCTGGCTATCATTCCTTTTTTTTTTTTTTTTGGCCAGTCCTGGAGCCTGAACCCAGGGCCTGGGCACTGTCCCTGAGCTTCTTTTGCTCAAGGCTATCACTCTACCACTTGAGCCACAGCACCATTTCCAGTTTTTCTGTGCATGTGGTAGTAAGGATTCGAACCCAGGGCTTCATGCATGCAAAGCAAGCACTCTACCACTGAGCCACCTTCCTAGTCCCTGGCTCTCATTCTTATAGCCAGCTTCCTGGAAGGAAGGACTCCTCACTTGTAAATGGTTAGAAGGCTAGAGGAGACAGACAGCAGGGCTCCAAAATCAGAATGACAGGGGCTCAGCTCAGTACTCCCCAACCTTGGCACAAGCTAAAAGTTATGGTTTCCCTTGCCTGTGGATCCCTGTGCCAACCTGGTGGACCATCTTAGCCCTAGTCCCCAGCTTTACCTGCTGCCTGTAGCCCAAGGCAGGACCCGGCTTAAGTGCAGTAAACAATTTAACTCCCCTTCTCTATCCCATCCCTATCACTAGGGCCTGAGTTGATGGTAATAGTAGCCATGTTTATTGGCTCTCTCCTAGGTGCCAGGCATTACTGTGAGGTGGATATTATTATCAGCACAGTTGTACAGAGGAGGAAATGGAAGCACAAAGAGATTAAGTGGTTTGCTCTAGGGCATCCAGCCCAGTAGGGATTTGAACCTAGGTTTTTGAAGCAGAGCCCTGGACCCCCACCTCCCAAAACAGTTTTCACCCCCGTAGTTGTGCTGTGGTGACTAAACAAAAGTCTGGAAGGCCAAGGTGATTAAATTTGCCTGTTCTAGAACGTGCCCAGGGTGTGAGTCAGAGCAGACCCTGATAGCGCTCCGCATAGCCCTCTACCCTTGTCCTCCCTGGGCAGTGTAATACAAGTTTTCTGCGTTACCTGAAAGGATATGCCTGCCCCAGCCTAGCTGCGAGCTGAGCATGCCTCCCCTGGTTCAAGGCTCCACCCCAGCTGCCATCTTGATCTCCCAGCTACCCACAGAGTCAGAAGCTTGGCTGAGAATCAATGACTGGAACCTCTATTCCAGCCATAAGCCACCATTGGTGATCCCTACACACCTACCCTGTCCCCAGTGGATATCTGTTCCCTGAGGACCAGGGTACAGTGAGTTATGGGTTTTTTTTTGTTTGTTTGTTTTGTTGGTCAGTCATGGAGCCTGAACTCTGAGCCTGGGCGCTGTCCCTCAGCTCTTCAGCTCAAGGCTAGCACTCTACCACTTGAGCCAAAGCACCACTTCCGGCTTTTTCTGCTTATGTGGTGCTGAGGAATCAAACCCAGGAATCAAACTCATGCATGCAAGGCACGCACTCTACCACTGAGCCACCTTCCCAGCCCTGAGTTATGTATTTTGCAGCACTGACAAATCCAGAGCCCTTAACCACAAGGCCCCATGGAAGCAATTTCCCCTTTGTCTCTGGCTCAGGAATATTCATCCTGCTTCTCCTGAGAAACAGGGTTTCCAACTTTGCCAGGACACTTTAAAGGCAAATTCAACTCCCAGCTCAAGTATTCTGGATGCCACTTAACTCTGGGAGCCTCTGTTTCTCAGGATTGACTACAAGAACTTCTGTTCACCCTGGTGGCCTGACCTCCACCCACACTTTCTTTTGTCTCTTTCTCTTACCTATTTTGCATTTTTTTTTTTGGTCCAGTTGTGGGGCCTGAACTCTGGGCCTGGGCGCTGTCCCTCAGCTCTTCAGCTCAAGGCTAGCACTCTACCACTTGAGCCACAGCGCCACTTCCGGCTTTTTTTTTTTCCTTTTTGCTTATATGGTGCTGAGGAATTGAACCCAGGGCCTCAGGCATGCAAGGCAAGCGCTCTACCACTGAGCCAACTTCCAACGCATTTTATTTTTTGTGGTGCTGAGACGGAACCCAGGTAAGTGCTACCACTTAGCCACATCCCAGCCTTCTCTTGTCTGTAATAAGTGCCTCTCAGCTGAGGCTCACACCTGTAATCTACTCAGGAGACTGAGATTTGAAGATCGAGGTTTAGGGCCAGCTGGCAGAAAAGTTCCTAAAGAATCTTAGTTCAAGTTAACCAGGAAGAAATCAGAAGTGGAGTTGTAGTTCAAGTGGTAGAGCACTAGCAAAAAAGCCAGGCAGGAGCGCCCAGGTCCTGAGTTCAAGTCCCAATGTTGGTGCATGTGTGCACGCATGTGCGCGCGCGCGCACACACACACACACACACACACACATCTTCTGTTTAAACTCAGAATATATAATGTTTCTTTTTCTTTCTTTTCTTTCTTTTTTTTTTTTTTGTGGTTGTTGTCAGTTGTGGGCTCTTGAACTCTGGGCCTGGGCACTGCCCTTGAGTTCTTCAGCTCAAGGCAAACTCCCTACCACTTGAGCCACAGAACCACTTCTGGTTTTTTCTGTTTAGACACTTTATATGACCTGGAGGTTCCCCAGGCCCAGCCGCAGGTCGTCTAGAACCAAGCCAAGCCAATCTAAAGTCTGAAATCAAGATGCTGGTTTTTTAAAATCTAGGACAGCATCTGGTAGGAAGTGATGGTGGGTGAGGAGGGTGAGGGTTGGCCTGTTCCACCCTCACTGGCCTCGTGCAGTCTAATGCAAGCCCTCAAGCTCTCTGGACTTGAGAATCAAACACCTAATACCTCTACATCATGAGAAACATAGGCTCTGTAAACAAGCTGTGATTGTCAGCAAGGCACTTACCTCTCTGAACCTCAGTTTCTTCATTTCTGGAAGGACAGCATCCCCTCGGAACTGTAGGATACATTAGGGTGCGCGCCGAACTATGTTGGAGTGGGAACTGAGTAGGCAGAAGAGCCCAATGTCTCCAAGCTACTTAGGAGACTGAGATCTGAGGATTGCAGTTTGACAGTCAATCTGAGAGGCTTATTAACCACAAAAAGCCAGAAGAGGAGGTGTGGCTCAAGTGGTAGAGTGCCAGCCTTAAAAAAGCTTATCAAAAGCCGGGCGCTGGTGGCTCATGCCTGTAATCCTAGCTACTCAGGAGGCTGAGATCTGAGGATCACGGTTCAAAGCCAGCCCGGGCAGGAAAGACCGTGAGACTCCTATCTCCAATAAACCACCAGAAAACTGGAAGTGGCGCTGTAGCTCAAATGGTAGAGCGCTCGCCTTGAGCTGAAGAACTGAGGGACAGCGCCCAGGCCCGGAGTTCAAGCCCCACGACCGACAAAAAAAAAAAAAAAAGCTTACCAAAGCTGGGCACCGGTGGCTCACACCTATAATCCTAGCTACTCAGGAGGCTGAAATCTGAGGATCATGGTTCAAAGCCAAAGAAAGTCCATGAGACTCTTATCTCCAATAAACCACCAGAAAACCAGAAGTGGCGCTGTGGCTCAAGCCATAGAGCTCTGGCCTTGAGCTAAAGAGCGCAGGGACAGTGCCCAAGCCCAGAGTTCAAGCCCCATGACTGACACACACACAGAAAAAAGGGGGCTGGGAAGGTGGCTCAGTGGTAGAGTGCTTACCTTGCATGCATGAGGCCCTGGGTTCGATTCCTCAGCACCACATAAGCAGAAAAAAAAGCTGGAAGTGGCGCTATGGCTCACGTGGTAGAGCGCTAGCCTTGAGCTGAAGAGTTGAGGGGCAACACCCAGGCCCAGAGTTCAGGCCCATGACCAGACCCCCCCCCAAAAAAAAAAAAAAAAAGGTCAAGACTTGCCCAGCGAGGAACAGAAGGGGCATGGGGTCCTGGTCCAGCCAATAGGACCAGCCTTGCCCCTGGCTCTAGAGATTGCCTGTGGCTGGCCATGGAGGCCACAGTCTGCAGCCAGCCTCTGGGATCCCTGTCCTGCCATCACTGGGCTCTGGAGCCCTTGGCTGCCTCCCAGTCTGGTTCATCCAGCTCCATCTCTAGGAAAGGTGGGATGAACTGATGGGAGGTTCTGCTGGACAGGGAGGAGCTGGGCTTACAAGTACAATGGAGTCTGTGAAGATCCCGCTGGACAAGAGAGCTTAGTCCTTATTCCGAGGCCACTGTGCAGTCCCCAGGGCCCTCATCTGGAAGATGTACCAGTCTTGGTCTGACCTCTGCTGCTGCTGCTCAATTCCAGGTAACCCCCCGAGGCCAAGCCCAGAGTCCGAGGAACCGCGACGACCGGGCCCAGCGGAACGAGGCAGCAACTCCGGGACACCCAAGCTGATCCAGCGCGCGCTGTTGCGGGGCACGGCCCTGCTTGCCTCACTGGGCCTTGGGCGGGACCTGCAGCCACCAGGAGGCCTGAGCCGAGACCGTGGGGAGTCCCCCACAGTGCCCCCAGTGTCCGTGCCCACGCCCTGCCCCACTGAGCCACCCTCTACCCCACTCATCCGCCTTTCCCCCAAGATGCCCCACACCCGCAACCAGCCCACCTCAGGGCCTCTGCTGCTGGATCTGGGTGTCACCACTGGCCAACCTTCAGCCAAGAGCCCCCGGCGTGAAGAGACACGAGGTGAGTGACCCTAGGACCAATGCTGGGATGGTGGCCACCAGAGTGGGGAGGGGCCAAGGACTTGCATCTTGGGGCCCTGGAGATACCTGAAAACTGCACTGTATGTTCAGCTGCTGCAGTGGTCAAGGGGGCAGGGTGAGCTAGACCAGCTATGGAACAAAAGAAGTGATCGAACCGATGACAGACTCCTACTAGGTGGTTACTTATGCTGGGTTAATTTTGTAGAGGTTGTCCCATTTAATTATAGCAAGGTAGCACATACCTGTAATTCCAGCTGTGGGTCCAGCTCAGGCCAGCCTGAGCTACACAGTCAGACTCTGGAAAAAAAGGATCTGTAAACTTATACTCATTTTTCATTTGTTAATTTATGTGTTGGTCATGGGGCTTGAGCTCAAGGATGAGGCTCTGTCCCTGAGCTTTTGTGCTCAAAACTAGTGCTCTACCACTTTGAGCTATAGCTCCACTTTTGGTTTTCTAGTAGTTAAATGGTGGTAAGAGTCTCTCTGATTTTCCTGCCCAGGCTGGCTTTGAACTGGAATCCTCAGATCTCAGCCTCCTGAGTAGCTAGGATTACAGGCATGAACTGCTGGCACTTGGCTTTGCTTAGCTTTTTTTTTTTTTTTTTTTTTTTTTTAGCATTTTAGTTTTTTTAATTGACAAAAATTATACTTATTTGTAGCATCTGATATGCCTTTTTGAAATACGTTTGCACTGTCTGCTTAGCTTTTTTACTCATAGTTGGTACTCTTACCTTTTGACCCATGCCTCCAGTTCCAGGTTTTTTTTTGTGCCACTCCTAGGGCTTTAACCAAGGGCCTGGGGGCTGTCCTTGAGCTTTTTTTTTACTCCAGACTAGCACTTTACCACTTGAGTCACAGCTCTACTTCCGGTGTTTTGGTGGTTCATTGGAGATAAGAGTCTCACAGACTTGGCTCTTAACCACAAAAGATGAGGAAATTTAAAGAATCCAGAAGTTCAGGGGTCTCACAACTTATAAGTGGATGGGTAAGTTCTGTGTGCTCTACCTGCCAGGTGCTTTATGATTTTTAAAGTTTTTTGATCTAGGGCTGGGAAGGTGGCTCAGTGGTAGAGCGCTTGCCTTGCATCCATGAGGCCCTGGGTTTGATTCCTCCGCACCACATAAGCCAAAAAAAAAAAGCCAGAAGTGGCACTGTGACTCAAGTGGTAGAGCGCTAGCCTTGAGCTGAAGAGCTGAGAGACAGCGCCCAGGCCCAGAGTTCAGGCCCCACGACCAGACCCAAAAAAAAAAATTTTTTTTTATCTAATTCATTTAATTTTTTGGTGTCAGTACTGGAGCTTGAACTCAAGGTCTGGGCACTGTCCCTGAACTTTTCCTGCTCAACACTAGTGCTCTACCATTTAAGCCACAGCTCCATTTCCTTCTTTTTGGTGGCTAAGTAGAGACTAGAGTCTCAAGACTTTCCTGCTTAGGCTGGCTTTGAACTACAACTCTCAGATCTCAGCATTCTGGAGAGTGAGGATTCCAGGTATGAGCCACTGATGACCAACTGTCAGGTTCTTCATCCCTTCACGATAGACAGATGTGCAGTAAACAAAGCATAAAGGATCCCTGAAGTTATGAGCCAAGCAGCTCCCTTGTAGAAAGAGAAACTGAGGCCTAGAACAGGGCAGGGCGTCCTGGGACACCTAGGAACCGAGGGGGTCCCTAACCCTGTGCCCCTCCTGCACCCTCATAGGAGGCACCGTCTCACCCCCACCAGGAATATCACGCTCTGCTCCTGGCACCCCTGGCACCCCTCGTTCACCCTTGGGCCTCATCAGCCGACCTCGGCCTTCACCCCTTCGTAGCCGCATTGACCCGTGGAGTTTTGTGTCAGCTGGACCACGGCCTTCACCCCTGCCTTCCCCACAGCCTGCACCCCGACGGGCCCCCTGGACCTTGTTCCCGGACTCAGATCCCTTCTGGGACTCCCCACCTGCCAACCCCTTCCGGGGAGGCCCTCAAGACTGCAGGGCGCAGACCAAAGATATGGGTGCCCAGGCACCCTGGGCGCCAGAGGCAGGGCCTTGAGTGGGCCAGGCCACCCGCCACGCTCCAGCTACCTTAGAGGAGACACCGCATACACTGGAATGGGCACCAGGCAGGCCTCTCTATAGCTGCCTTGGTTTCCCCCAGGATCCCCACCACCACCCCCGCTTGGGAAGGGGGGGTGGTCAGGAACACTACACTGCACCGGAAGCCTTCACACTGGATGGGGGGGGCCTGCACCCTCTTCACCTGCAACCTGGAGGTCCCCCTGACTTCCTTGCCCTACTGGGGCCTGACACTGTACCCAGCTGGTTGGGAGGACCAGAGCCTGACTCAGGGAATTGCCCGCAGGGGTGTCCGCAGGGAGGGGAGGTGCAGGGGAGAAAGGCCAACCTCAGCTGTCACCAGCACTTTTGACCAAGTCCTGCCACTGTGGTTCCTGCCCCAGGGCTTAGTTCCTGGACGGCCCCCCTCCCCCCACCCCTCTATCCCACCTCTGAAAGTGGTCAGAGGCTGGGATTTTTTGGGTGCCTTCCTGCTGCCCCAGCCAGGGTTGTGGCCTTGGCCTGAGGTTCCAATGAAGCCAAATAAACTTGTAAGCTGTTTTCCCAAGTGCAGCAGGCTGGTGTTGTCATCCCCGCCCCACCCCCCAGGCACGTGGTCCAGGCCACATCGCTTTGCCACGCGTGCCTCTCAACTTCCCCCAACCACAAACACTAGTTCACCGGTGTTTTCCTCACACTTACTCCACATCTGCACATGTTTCCGGTGACTGTATTTATCCCAATCCTCCCTGTTGACCCTGCCTGTCTTCTGCACGCTGGCCACAGAACCCCCACCCGGTACAGATCTCCCACTTCCCAGAGTCCACAGCCCTCAGGTGACATCCTCAGATTGGCCCTGGGTTGATCTCCAGCCCAGGGTCTGGATGCACAAGGAACAATCCCACCACCTCCAGGCATGGTGAGCACCAGACAGGACAATCCCTGGACGTCTGTGTTCTCACACTATGCCCTGGGCCAGCGCCCTTCCTTGGCCTCTGGCACTCAGAATCTGCGGTTTATAGTTAGAGGTTCGGGCTCCTAGTCTTCCCCTCATCCTAGGGCAAGCAGACAGGCAAGGAGGCTCGAGGGTAGGCCGGAAGCTTGAAACATCACCTGCCTACGGGCTCTAGTCATCCTTGAGTTCCTGCCCCTCGCCTCACTCAGCCCCAGCTGCTGCCACCCAAAACCCCACCATTCCTTTCATCCCTCTGTCTAGGCTACCATCGTACCCCAGTTTGCCCCAGTATTCCTCCATGGGGCTCCCTGGGCCACACTTAGAGGCGCTTTCCCCAGGGAGCTGGCCCTCCTCCAGACAGCCCCACCTTGCCCCCCCTTACCTGAGCATCTGCGCCATGGGATTTAGGACAGTATAAAGTTTCAAGTTACTTTGCTCACAGGTTTCTTTTACTCAGCTTGGGCACTGTCCCTGCACTCTTCAGCTCAAGGTGAGTGCTCTACCGCTTGAGCCACAGCACCACTTCCAGTTTTCTGAGTGGTTTATTGGAGTTAAGAGTCTCACGGGTTGGGGGGGGGGGGGAGAGGGGCTGGGAAGGTGGCTCGGTGGTAGAGTGCTTGCCTTGCATGCCTGAGGCCCTGGGTTCGATTCCTCAGCACCACATAAGCAAAAAGAAAAAAAGCCGGAAGTGGCGCTGTGGCTCAAGTGGTAGAGTGCTAGCCTTCAGCTGAAGAGCTGAGAGACAGTGCCCAGGCCCAGAGTTCAAGCCCCACAACCGGACCCCCAAAAAAAGAGTCTCACAGACTTTCCTGCCCCAGCTGGCTTTGAACCATCCTCAGATCTCAGCCTCCTGAGTAGCTAGGATTACAGGTGTGACCCACTGCTGCCCTGCTTGCTCACAAGTTTTCTAGGCAAGCACCAGGAGGCCACACCTGTGTATCCCCTTCCCTTGTGTCTGAACGGTGAAATGGAGTTTGAGACTGAGGGAACAAGACCTCGAATAAGTGCGAGGCCCTCGCTAGGCCTCGGCTTCCCCACCCTGCCGCCACCCTTACCACAGCACCTTCCTCCGCCGCCCCCACGGCCCCAGCTGCTGGGTCTTGCCCCAGAAACTGGGAGGAGCCCTCCAGCTCACCTCCCTCCGGTGCACACTCACCCCACTTCTCTCCCAGCCACCCACGCAGCACCTCCCTCCAGCCCCGCCCTGCCCAGCCCCTCCCAGGGGCCTGCGGTGGAGCAGTCAGCTCCCACAGCAGCACCCCAGATTCAGCATCGTGCTATGGGCGGTCTGAGGCCTTGGGCCCGATATCTGCTCCTGCTTGTGGCCCACCTGCTGGCCCTGGGGCTCGGGGCTGTGGTATTCCAGGCTCTGGAGGGCCCTCCAGCACTCCGCCTCCAAGCCCAGCTCAAGGCTGAGCTGGCTACCTTCCTGGCCGAGTATGGAGCCTGCTTGCCACCTGGAGCCCTGGAGGAGCTTCTGGGCACCACCCTGAGAGCACAGTCCCACGGAGTCTCCAGCCTGACCAATGGCTCAGACGCCAGCAACTGGGATCTTCCCTCAGCCCTGCTCTTCACTGCCAGTATCCTCACCACCGCGGGTAGGCCACCATGCCAAGCACCCCTAAAGGAAGAGGCTTCTGAGGTCATGACCCTGCCCTCCCTCCACACCCCAGGACCCTAGCAGTGCAGCCCTTCCCCCAGCGCCATAGCGCCAGATGAAGCTCCAGCTCTATCAGGCCTGACATCACCACTGGGGCTCCCCACACCAACACACCCCAACTGGTGCCTCCACTTCAGCTGCCAGAAGGGGTGTGGCCTCCACAGCCTCACCTGAGGCACTGATCGGGACCCGGGAAAAGTACCTAGTCCACATGATATGGCAGAAAACACACACTGCGGGTGGATTCTTGGATGGAGGGATGTGGAGGAAACAGAGCAGAAGGAATGTGAGGATGTTCTGATGATGATCTATTCACCAAAGCAACAGGATGCTGACAAACGATGGAAGAATTCCTGTCTTCAGGAATAGCATGTACTTAGGCCCAGAGAAATAAAGCAGAGACCCAACCTGGCTTTTGTTATTCTGCAAATTGCCAAACAGTTGGAGGAAGGTTGTTTTTTGGGGTTTTTTTGTCAGTTGTAGGGCTTGAACTCTGGGCCTGGGCGCTGCCCCTCAGCTCTTCAGCTCAAGGTTAGCACTCTACCACTTGAGCCACAGTGCCACTTCCAGTTTTTTTCTGGTGGTTGGTTAATTGGAGATAAGAGTCTCATGGACTTGGCTGGTTTTGAACCACGATCCTCAGATCTCAGCCTCCTAAGTAACTAGGATTACAGGTGTGAGCCATCAGTACCTGGCTTCCAAACAGTTTTTGGTTTTTTTGTTTTGTTTTGTTTTTGGGTCCAGTTGTGGGGCCTGAACTCTGGGCCTGGGCGCTGTCCCTCAGCTCTTCAGCTCAAGGCTAGCCCTCTACCACTTGAGCCACAGCGCCACTTCTGGCTTTTTTTCTTTTTGCTTATGTGGTGCTTGTAAGGTCCATTCCTGGACGGCGAACAGACCTCACCCAGTACCTGCGTTACCTAGGCAACTGGGATACCTGGAAGAGGTCACATCCACATCCGCTGAGGTCACATCTTAACCTGATGTGGCCACACCTTTCTCCCACCTGACCCCACTTCCCTTTACCTGGACACACCCTTCCCCACCCCCTACCCTATATAAGGCCTAAACCGCGGCCAGACCGCCCTCTTTTCCTTTTGCCAGCCGCGTGGAGTGCCAACCTTGCCTGGTCCCAGCAGGTCCACTGAATAAACCTACCCCTTACCTGAATACCACGTGCGTGGTGCAGTTCTTACTCGGCCACCTCTTTTTAAAAACCTAACAGTGCTGAGGAATCAAACCCAGGGCCTCAGGCATGCAAGGCAAGCGCTCTACCACTGAGCCAACTTCCTAGCCCCTTCCAAATAGTTTTTGAACCCAAACCTTTATCTCCAATTTCTTTCGGAAATTCAAGAAACAAATTCATGCTGAGCCTGAATCCCTGCATGTCAACATACAAGCTAGAACAGGACAGGAACACCTCCACAGAGCCCAGCTTCTCCAGGCCACCTCAATACCCTAGTATTATCTCACATCTGGCTTCTGAGGACATTGCAGTTTGCAACCTCTGGACCAGCTGATCCTGTTATCCCAGCATGCCTTGCTCTCCCACCTCTCCCTTAACGTGTACTTCTCCAGACCCAAATGCCTTCTCATTCATCCTGCCTCTTTGCAGTCCTTTGTGTTTTCCTGCCTGCTCTCCAACCGTAAGTCAGGGCCTGAGCAAATTCTAGCTCATGGCCTGGCACATAGACAGACGTGATGTCCCTTTGGGAAATGGGTAGAGGACACGCTACCAGCTATGGACTTGGAAATATAGGTCAAAAGCAGAGCCAAGGAAATCTCTCAGAAAGTCTGGCTCAGCCTGAGGGTGTGGCTAATGGTCGCACACTTGCTTAGCATTCATAAGATCCTGCATTCAATCTCCAGCACCAGAAAACAAGAAAAGGAAAGAACAAATGAAGGAAGGAAGGCAGCCAAGATCTCCCAAGACAGGACAGTAGTTGTGAGTTGTCCCAGCTACAACAGGCCTGAGGAATGTATTGTCTTCCTTTAGCCTTTCATTTTCTACGGAAGACAAGAGTGGCCCAGAGGAGTTGAGGGACTTGCCCAGAATCCTAGCCAAAGAGCACAGCCTGAAGAGCGTGTGCAATGTGAGCCACTAGAGGGCAGCTCTCTGGCGGGACAATGGGGACCCCTTTTCAAGATCACTGGTAGATGTCTCTCTCTCCTCCAGGTTATGGCCACATGGCTCCACTATCGGCAGCTGGGAAGGCCTTCTGTGTGGTCTACGCGGCTCTGGGGCTGCCAGCTTCCTTAGCCCTTGTGGCTGCCCTGCAACACTACCTGCTCCCTTCCTTCAGCTGCTTGGGTGTCTGGGCAACTACCCGCTGGCAGCTGACACTAGCCCGGGCTGCGCTGCTTCAGGCTACAGGATTCGGCCTGTTAGTGGCTACCATCTTCATGCTGCTGCCAGCTCTGGTGCTGTGGGGTGTCCAGGGTGACTGCAGCCTGCTAGAGGCCATCTACTTCTGCTTCGGCTCCCTAAGCACCATTGGCCTGGGAGACCTGCTGCCTGGGCAGGGCCGTGGCCTGCATCCAGGTATTTACCACCTTGGCCAGTTCTCCCTTCTTGGTAAGTCCAGAGCGAAGCGGGGAGGTGTTGGGTGGGGGGGGCGCTTGGACTATGGCTCCCATAAGCCACTGGGGAAGGTGCAACTCACAGTCCAAAGAAACCTAGGGGCAGTGCTGGACGTGGTGCCAGGTGTCGGGGTGGGTCATCTCACTGGGGAACATCAAGAGCATCCAACTGCGGCCCTAGCAACCTTTCCTCCCCAGGTTACTTGCTACTAGGACTCCTTGCCATGCTGCTGGCTGTGGAGACCTTCGCTGAGCTGCCACAAGTCCGTGCCATAGTGAAGTTCTTTGGGTCCAGTGGCCCTGTGACTGCTGAGGACCAACATGGCATCCTAAGCCGAGACGAGTTGGATCTGAGCACCCTGCCTCCCCCCACTCCCGCCTCAGACCAGACCCCACCTTGCTGACATGGCACAGGTGCCCCACTTCACCTTCTTTTAGGTGAAGGAGCTGGAGGCAGTCATCAGGAGTGCTTGGGGAAGAATCTGGAGATGGGGGAAGTGGAGTGAAGCCAGGGGTATAAATAAGGACCTCAGGGAATGATATGTTAATAAAAAAAAATAATAAAATGGTCATGGTATGCAGTAGACACTATGTGGGAGATGAACTATGCAATTTGTGGGCAGGGATGGGAGGGGAAAACTGGGAGAAAGCAAAGGAAAGGGTGACATTGTCTGAAAAGAAATGCGCTCATCACCTGAGTTATGAAATGGTCACCCCTCTGTACATCACCCTACAATAACAATAAAATTATAGAGTTATATTTAAAATTAAATAAAATGGTCCAGGCACCAGTGGCTCATACCTGTAATCCTAACTACTCAGTATCTGAGACTGGAGGATCCCTATTGGGATCCAGCCTGGGCAGGAAAGTCCATGAGACTCTTATCTCCAGTTAATTAACAAGAAAAAAAAAAAAAAGCCCAGCACAGTAGTTCACACTTGTAATCCTAGCTACTCAGGAGGCTGAGATCTGAAGATCAGGATTCGAAGCCCACCTGGGTAGAAAAGTCCCTGTGAGACTCATCCCCAACCACTCAAAACCTGGAAGTGGTGCTGTGGCTAAAAGTGGTAGGTAGAGCACTCGCCTTGAGCTGAAATGCTCAGGGACAGAGCCCAGGCCCAGAGTTCAAGCCCCATGAGTGACAAAAATAAATAAACATAAACAAACAAATAACTAAGTGGATTGCCTACTATCTGAGGTCCCACCACCACCACATAGAAAAGCAAACAGAACAGGAGACAAGCTAACCACTTCCATGGCTTCTTTCAAAATGAAAATCTCCTCCTAGGTCATGGTCCTTGAAAGACCTAGCTCCTGCCTCAGTCTACCTCTGGGAATTGCCAAGCTGTCCTGGCAGTTTTTAGGGTGGCAGAAAGCCTGCCCTCTTCCTCCTATTGAAACCCAAATTGTCCAGAGAGAAAGCATTGGGGCGCTGGGTGTCGGTGTCCGGCTTTATTGCTCGGGAGTCTCAGGAAGGGTTGGGGAGTGGGGGTGGCGCAAGGGTCCTGGTCCCCCAAGGTCCCTGAGCCATTGGGGACACACACGCACACATTCATACCGACAAATAAATACGGCCTGGAGCGCGTGGACACCGCAGGGTTGGGGTCCGCCGGCTGGGCGTCCAGGCTCCCCGGCAAGGCGAGCGGGCACCGGCCCCGCGGAGGCAGCCGGGCCCCGGGGCTCAGCTCAGCGCGCAGCGTTCCCGCCGGCTCAGCTGCCGGCTCAGCTTGCGGCGCCGCTGCTCCAGGCCGCGCGCCAGGCGCTCGTCCTCCTCCAGGGCGCTGCCGGGCAGGAAGGGCTGCGATCAGTACCCCGCGCGGCCTCCGGGTCCAGTCCTCCGCCCGGCGGCCTCCCCAACCTCCCGGCGCCTCCGGGCCTCCACTCACATCCGCTCCTTGTGGTCCAGGTCGCGGACCAGCTCGTCCCGCTGGTTCACCAGAGATACCAGCTCCTTCAGCAGGAGCTGCTCCCGGTGCTGCTGTGCCACGGTTTTCTGCCAATCTGAGCAGCGGAGAAGCCAAGGTCAGCAGATGCCCAGCCTGGCCCTGGCCTGCCCCACGACCCTCCTGCCCCATCGCCCACCTTCGATTGCCAGCATGGCGCGCAGCTCCCGGCTCAGCAGTTCGAACCTCCGCTCCAGGTCCTGCTCCTCGATGCTGGGCGGCAGGGTGCCAAGTCAGGACAGGGGAGGGGGGGTGCCCCGCTCCGAGCACCCCGAGACCCATCCCACCTCCCTACCAGTTTGCTTAGAGGTTCTGGGCTGATCCCAGCTTATAGCTTAGTCCTCATTCATATTTCTTTGTTTCAACTAGTCTTTTTATTATTATTATTATGTTCTTGTGGTAGTGGGGCTTGAACTCTGGGCCTGGCACTGTCCCTCAGCTCTTCAGCTCAAGGCTAGCACTCTACCACTTGCGCAACAGCACCATTTCCAGTTTTCTGAGTGGTTTATTGGAGATAAGAGTCTCATGGACTTTCCTGCCTGAGCTGGCTTTGAATCACGATCATCAGAGCTCAGCCTCCTGAGCAGCTAGGATTACAGGCGTGAGCCACCGTGCCAGGCTCCAAATAGCAGCTTTAACTAAAGTAAGCTACTACTTCTGGCGCTCTGTGACCCGCTGGGGGCAGGGCCTTGTAGGGGCGGGGCCTTGCAGGTGGGCGGGGCCTATGCCGGCAGGGAGGGGAGGGACCTTACTGGAAGCGTGGAGTGGGGCAGGACCTGGGTCATGCAGCAGGTACTCACAGTAGCTGCAGCTGGTCCTGTCTACGGATGAGGGCGTTCTTCTTGTTGACCAGGGTGAACCACTCCTGGATCAGCATTTCCTCCTCCAGCTTGTTGACACCTGAATCAAGCCAGGACAATCACCAGGACTGCCTTCTGTCCGGGCTGAGCAACTAGACATCTTGGAGAGCAGGCTTGCTGCTTCCAGGCATCCTGGATACCTGCGCTGTGTGCATCTAGCAAGGGTCTTCCCTACTCAGGGCTCAGCAGGGGACAATGGTTCTGGCTGTGTCTCTCAGTTCCACCCTCTTAGCAGAGGGAGTAATATGTGGAGGAGGGAACCCCAGATGCCCACCCTACCTGATTCCATGAGGCTCCTCAACTGTGTCTCCACCTCCGCTGCCCGTCCATCTATCTGTCTCTGCTCCTGTTCCAGGGCCTGCAGCTCTGCACACACATACTGACTTGTGTCCTGGAACCGTTGCTGGGGGAGTAGAAAGGGGTGCAGGGGATGAGTAGGCTCACCCCAGGCCTTTCCCAGAAAGACCCATATATCAGTCCTCCCTACTGAGCCCTCCTTACCAGTCCAGACTCCTCCCCTGGAATTAGGGGTACCTCCTCCTCTGAGGGGGGACTCCCACCTGCAGACAGAGATCAGCTTATAAGGCTCCTCTAACCAGAAAATGACCCCCAAAGGCCCCAGACCAGGATTTGTGAGCAGCCTGAGCTGAACTGGGTCACAGACCCTTCAAAACTACTCACCAGCAGGCTGCTGCAGGGCTGTGGCAGCCAGAGGGCCAGGGGCAGGGCTGGGGCCGGGGACAGAGCTGGGGTCAGGGATCGGGCCTTCCTGTGGAGAAAGAGGCCACTGAGGCTGGGAGGAACTCCAGACAGCCAAGTCTGGGCCTAGCCAAAACTTCACACAGCAAAGGTAGGCAGGCTCCTCAATCCCAGACCCTGCCTTCCTGGGAGAATGGGGCCTATGATGGCCCAGACCCTCACCCCTGCCTATAGTCCTGGACCCATCCATACTCACTTTTGCACCAAGTCCCTGACCTCACAGGGTCTCCTATCACCTAGTGCTGGCATCTCCATTATGGTTAGAGTCTTCCAAGGTGACACTTGGTAAGCCCCAATGCAGCCACATCTGGATAGCTAGGCTATCCAGAGCCAGATCTTAAGCCAGCACATCCATACTCTGGCCAAAAGGGGGCGCCCTCCTGCTTTATGAGTTTCCACACCTAGGGAGCAACTGTATTCCTCCTACAGCACCAAAACCAGACAGGTTGTATGGACCTGTGAATTGAACAACCGACAGGTCAGGGCTTGGGTTTGATGTGCCCCAGTTCCATCGGCTTTCTGGGACTGGCTCTCTGGGGACCCTCAGCTGACAGCTTGTGACCCTTGAAGATGCAGCTCTGATCATGCTTCTAGGCCATAGTGTTGAGTCCCCCAAACTCTGCCCCAACTTGGACCCCTCTGAGAGGCAGCTCTGGACAACCCTTTGTCAGGTGCTATACGCTCTCGCTTGGTTCAGTGGTGTCCTCCTTACCAGCTGCCATCATGACCTTCCCAAACCTTCAATAGTGTAACTCTCTGTACCCCTTTTATCGTCCAGCCTTACTGCCACGGCCAGGGGGTGGCTCTGCCTCCACTTGCCTCCTACTGCCCTCTTCACTCCCCCCTTCCGGCCCCTGAGACACTACACTCTGGTCATAGTGATGACTTTCACTTCCCTAAAACCTTCCTGAGGCTCCATCTTGAGCTGCCCTAACCAACCTGACCTGCACAGCCCGGCTCAGCCGAGCTAGGGCCTGCGCAGGCGCCTCAGGCTCCCATACCTCTTTTGGCTTTGCTTCCTGAACTTCCTGCCTCTGGAAGCAAGTCTTAATTTTTTTTTGGTCAGTCATGGGGCTTGAACTTAGGGCCTGGGTGCTGTCCCTGAGCTCTTTCACACAAGGCTAGCACTCTACCACTTTGAGCCACAGTATACTTCCAACTTTCTGATGGTTCACTGGAAATAAAAGTCACAACTTTCTCACCTGTGCTGGCTTTGAACTGCGACCCTCAGATCTCAGCCTCCTGAGTAGCTAGGATGAGAGGCGTGAGCCACCAACGCCAGGGAAGGTCTGAATCTTGATTCTGAAGGTGGGTAGTAGCTTTGCCAGGGCCCCTGGTGACAGTTCCCCCCGCCCCATGCTGATGGTTATGAATGACTTCCTGCCCAAAAGTAATCTCTTCAGATTGGCCTAGCTTCTGCACCCAGGGAACACTGACAAATAATAATGCTACTATCGCCGGGCGCTGGTGGCTCACGCCTGTAATCCTAGCTACTCAGGAGGCTGAGATCTGAGGATTGCGGTTCAAAGCCAGCCCGGGCAGGAGAGACTGTGAGACTCCTATCTCCAATAAACCATCAGAAAACCGGAAGTGGCGCTGTAGCTCAAGTGGTAGAGCGCTCGCCTTGAGCTGAAGAGCTGAGGGACAGCGCCCAGGCCCAGAGTTCAAGCCCCATGACCGACAAAAAAAAAAAAAAAATAATGCTACTATCTTCTAAGCATTTATGTCTCAGGCACTTTTTCTGTGCCAGTACTGAGACTTGAACTCAGGGCCTGGGCATTGTTCCTTAGCTTTTTTTTTTTTGCTCAGAGTTGATGTTCTACCATTCTGGCTTTGGTGGTTAATTGGAGATAAGAGTCTTATGGACTGATGGGCTTGGCTCCACACTGGGATGTTCAGATCTTAGCCTCACATGTAGCTAGGAATACAGAGGTGAGCCACCAGTGCCTGGCCACTCTCCTTTTGGGAGATGCCCAGGCCCTGAGCTCAAGCCCCAGGACTGGCCAAAGAAAAGAGCAGAGAGAGTCACAGTCCAGAGTCACAGTGAGTCAAAAGAGCTGGGCCCAGCACAGGGTGCCAATGAACACTCAGGTTTACCAAACTGGGCTTGTATCTTTCCTCTCCCTGAACAGAAGTGTCCCACATGTAAAACGGGATGACAATCCCCTCCCCTTGGAAGGGGCATTCTAAGGAGACAAGGGCTTCTGGAGAAAGGCCAACCATAAAAAGAGGGCCTAAAGCCGGGTCTCAGTGGCTCACGTTAACTACTCAGGAGGCTGAGATCTGAGGATCATGGTTCAAAGCCAGCCCAGGCATGAAAGTCTGTGAGACTCTTTGGGTCTGGTCGTGGGGCCTGAACTCTGGGCCTGGGCACTGTCCCTCAGCTCTTCAGCTCAAGGCTAGCACTCTACCACTTGAGCCACAGCACCGCTTCTCTGGCTTTTTCTGCTTATGTGGGGCTGAGGAATCGAACCCAGGGCCTCATGCAAGCAAGGCAAGCACTCTACCACTAAGCCACCTTCCCAGCCCCAAGTCTGTGAGACTCTTACTTCCAATTAACCACTAGAAAACCAGAAGTAGTGCTGTGGCTCAAGCAGTAGAGTACTCGTCTTGAGCTGAAGAGCTCAGGGACAGCGCCCAAGCTCAGAGTTCAAGCCCCACGCCAACAAAATATAAAATAAAATAAAATAGAGGGCCTAACCAACAGGTAGGAGATAGAAAAGGCCAATTTCAAGCTGGGATCTAGTGGCTCACGCCTGTAATCCTAGCTACTCAGGAGACTGAGATCTGAGGATCACACTTCAAAACCAACCCAGGCAGGAAAGTCTGTGAAACTCTTATCTCCAATTAACCCCTAGAAAACTGGAAGTGACGCTGTGGCTCAAAGTGGTAGAGCGCTCGCCTTGAGCAAAAAGAGCTCGGGGACAGCACCCAGTCCCCAAGTTCAAGCCCCACAACCAAAAAAAAAAGGCCAACTTCAGCAACAATCGAGCTTACTCATGCCAACCGCGATGGGAATCCCAGTGCTTCCTCCTCAGGCCTGACTCAATTCCTCTTTCGGTACTCTCATGTATGGTCCCTCCTCCAAGAAGCCCTGTGGATTGTGCCCGCAACAGGCTGCTCTTTGCACGGCGTTGCCATGAGAATGTGCCTGACCTCAACCCACTCTAGGTCTTTGGGAGCTTCCAAGGGTGCAGCCAGGCCATGGCACCTCCCACTTGGGAGGGTGTTGGGGGCACAGCCAATGAGGAGAAGGGTCAAGTATCTCTTGTGGGGCAGAGGCTAGAGGAGGGCTTGCCTCAGAGGCCTAGAGGTTGGGAGGCAGAACAAAGCATGTAGGATGGGATGAGCCTCTGCTTTATGACTGAAAGAACTCCACGAGGCCAGGCACGGTGGCTTACACCTGTAATCCTAGCTATTCAGGAGGCTGAGATCTGAGGATCACGGTTCAAAGCCAGCCCGGGCAGGAAGGTCCATGAGACTCTTATCTCCAATAAACCACCAGAAAACCAGAAGTGGCGCTGTGGCTCAAGTGGTAGAGCGCTTGCCTTGAGCTGAAGAGCTGAGGGACAGCGCTCAGGTGCAGCGTTCAAGCCCCACAACCGACCAAAAACCTCCATGACAGCTGGGCACCAGTGGCTCATACCTGAATCTTAGATATGCAGAAGGCTGAAATCTGAGGATCACAGTTTGAAACCTGTCAAAATCTGAGCAGACAAATCGTGTGGTTCAAGTGGTAGAGTGCCCAGCCTTGAGCGAAAAAAGCTAAGGGACAGGGCCCAGGCCCTGAGTTTAAGGCACAGTGCAATTCCATGACTTACGTAAACTGACTGGGCTAGAAGTGGCTGTATTCCACTGGCCTAAAGTATCCCCTGAGACATGCCCTGGTGCCCTTCGCCGTCTCATCTGTAACCTCAGCCCTGTGTCTCTGAGCCCGCACTGGGGCCTCTTGCTCTCAGCCTGGCTTCCTCACCATCTGGAAGCCTTTGGGAGATGACTGGCAGTTCCCTACTGAGCCCCACACTCCCCTAATGTTGCATGTTTGCTTGCGAAAGTCCCTCTACTTGAGCACCACCCCCTCCCATCTTAACTAGCTCAGATGGCCACTGCCGTTTCCAAAAAGCCTTTCTCAATTACTCCTTCCTTTCCTCCAAGCTCAGCATCTATCACTGGACAGTTGTGGGTGTCATGCCTGAAAGCTGCCCTGTGACCTGGACCTCCGGGGCTGCAAGACCCTGCCAGTTCCTGCTCCCTTCAAGACTACTCAGCACAGTGACAGGACTCCCTGCGCAAGTCATCTGAGCTCTGTGCAAAGAGGGGAGGGGCATGCCCCAGAAGGCTGTCCCACCTCCAACCTCCACTATAGGAAAAGAGGAAACTGGTCTCCAGCATCTGGAGTTAAAGATTCAAAGCAGAGAACACAAAGGATGGCTTAAGTGGCAGAGTACCTGCCTGGCAAGCAAAAGTTCTGGTATGCCGGGCAGGGGTGATCCTAGCTACTCAGGAGGCTGAGATCTGAGGATCGCAGTTCAAAGCCAACCTGGGCAGGAAAGTCTGAGACTCTTATCTCCAATTAATCACAGCAAAAGCCAGAAGTGGTATTGTGGCTCAAAGTGGTAGCTCACTAGCCTTGAGTGAAAAAGCTCAGGGACAGTGCTCAGGCTCTGAGTTCAACCCCCACGACCAACAAAACAACACAAAAGGCCTGGAGTTCAAACCCCAAGCCCACTAAGAACAAGAAAGAAAAGGGGAAGGGAGAGAAGGAAGGAGAGAGGAGAAAAGGAAGGAAGGAAGGAAGGAAGGAAGGAAGGAAGGAAGGAAGGAAGGAAGGAAAGGAAAGGAAAGGAAGGAAGAGAGGAAGAAGGAAGAGAGGAAGGGAGGGAGGAAGAGAGGTAAGGAAGGAGCAATCTGAGCACCTGTGACTCACACTTGTAGTCCTAGCTATTCAAGAGGGTGAATTCTGATGATCACGGTTCAAAACCAGCCCAAGTAGGAAAATCCAAGTAGCCACCAAAAAGCTAGAAGTAGAGCTGTGGCTCAAGTGGTAGAGCAGCAGCACTGAGCAAGAAAACTGAAAAAGCACAAGGCTTTGAGTTCAAACCCAGTACTAGTACTTTTTTTAAAAAGACAGCCAACAGGCTGGGAAAAGATCTTTAACGCCAATACATCTGCCAAAGTCCTAAAATCCAAATACACAAGGAGTTCAAGAAACTAACCCCTCTCAAAGCTAATAAACCAATCACTAAATGGGCAAAGGAGCTAAGGAGAGACTTCTCAGAAGAAGGGATAAGAATGGGAAAGAAACACCTGAGGAAATGCTCATCATCCCTAGCCATAAGGAAATGCAAATCGAAACAACGTTGAGACCCCATCTCGTCCCCAGGGCCAACATTGTGAATTCAAACAACAAATGTTGGTGGGGATGTGGAGAGAGGAACCTTACTGCACTGTGGGTGGGAATGAGAACTATTGCAACCACTCCTGACAGCAAAAACAAACAGACATAGATTTCCCCTACAGAACATTACAAGTCACGGTACTGTCAAGACCCTTGTACATCCGTGTTCATTGCTGACTACTCACAATCGCCAAGTTATAGAAACAGTCTAGATGCCCTACGATGGATGGCTGGATCCAAAAAAATATGTGCCTAGTGGAACTTTACACGGCCATTAGAAAGTATGTCATTTGCAGGGAAACCCATCAACCTAGAACAAATCATGTTAAGTGAAGTAAGCCAAGCTCAGAGAGACAAAAGGTGTATGTTTTCTCTCAAATGCAGAAGCTAGGCCTAAAATACACTGGGACATGATCCATTCTATAGGTCTCTATTCACACACAGTGAGACCAAACGAAGGATAGAACACAAAGGTGCAAAGCCTATGTGTCCTTGACCATATAAAACAATATTTATCAAAATGAACTCCAGGAAATGGAAGCGATAAATAAACAGATAAATAAATAAACAAATGCATTGCCAGTGGTAGAGCACTAGCCTTGAACGAGAAAGCTCAGAGACAGCACCCAGGCCCTGAGTTCAAGCCCCATGACTGACAAAAGAAAAACAAAAGTGGGATAGGGAAGAAGCAGCCCAGGTAATGAAGGATTTGGCTTGGAAAGTTTAAAAAAGAAACGTGTTACAAGACATAAGGAGCCTTTTAACTGTTCTAAGGAGCCTCGTGCAAGGCCAGGGTTGTAGTGTTTTGTGGTTCTAGAGGCTCTCTCGCCTGTAATCCTAGCGACTCAGGAGGCTGAGATCTGAGGATCGTGGTTCAGGGCCAGCCCAGGCAGGAAAGTCCGTGAGACTCTTATCTCCAATAAACCACCAGAAAACCGGAAGTGGCGCTGTGGCTCAAGTGGTAGAGCACTAGCCTTGAGCTGAGGAGCTAAGGGACAGCGCCCAGAGTTCAAGCCCCACGACCGACCAAAAGAAAAAAAAAAGCCAGCAGTAGTTCAGGTAGAGCCCGGCCTCGAGCTCTGTCTGCCGGGTCCCGAGCGGCCGCGGCGGGGCACTCACCGCAGGCCCGGCCCCCGCGGCCCCCGCGTCCGGCTCATCCGCCGAGAAGGAGTTGCTGCTCCGCAGCCTCGAGCGCCTCTTCTTCAGGAGATCCGCGTCCCGCACGTGGGAAAAGGAGCCGTGCGCCCGGGGCGGCGGCACCGGCCCCGCCTCCCCGTTCACCGACGGCCGCCGCAGCTTCACGCCGGCCCCGCCCGGCGTCCCGGCCCCAGCCCCGTTCACCAGCTCCTCGCTGGACGCCGCCGGGGCCTCTGCGGCGGGCGCCGCCCTGGCCGCCGCGGCCTCGCCGTCCTGCGGGGCGCAGGCGGAGGGCGCCCCGCCGCCGGCCGCCTCCCCGGGCGCCGCGGGCCCCGCCTCGGCCCCGCGCTCGCGCAGCCGCCGCGCCAGGCCGCCCGCGTCCAGGTCTTCGGGCTGCGGGGCCGGCGCGCCCACGCGGTAGGTGCCCGCGCGGCCCCCGCCCTCCAGCTGCACCAGCTGCAGCTCCTGCCCAGTGCAGAAGGCGCGGATCTGGCACAGGTAAGTCATGACGATCAGCTTGTCGGGCACCGACAGCAGCACCATGTCCGCGGGCTCCAGCAGCCGCGACACGCCCAGGGCTTCAAAGCCATCGAAAGCCTAGGAAGAGCGCGCTCCTGGTCAGCCATGCAGGGGAACCCCCCCCCCCCCGCAACTCTCCTGGGACAGCCCCGGGTGCCTGCACCCCATATGCCAGCGCTTGCCTAGTAATGCTTCAAGCTTCTACCCCCTGTAGATGGAAAGCTGCAGGGACCACCCCTTCCCCAGAATAGTTTGGGAAAAGTCATCTTGAGGAAAATACGCTTAAAAAACACCACCAAAACAAAACTATGAGAAACAACCAATTTAATGATCAATGAGGAAAACAAGTGCAGATGGCTCTTGTCAGCAATCCTAGCTACTCAGGAGACTGAGATCTAAGGATTATGGTTCAAAGACAGCCCAGGCAAAAAAGTCCTAGACTCTTATCTCCAAATAACCAGCAAAAAGCCAGAAGTGGAGCTGTGGCTCTACTGGTAGAGCACTAGCCTTGAGAGCAAAAAAGCTAAGGGACAGCAAGGACCTAGGACCTGAGTTCAAGTCATAGTACCAACACACACACACACACACACACACACACACACACACACACACACACACACTTCAAAGCCAGCTCTCTTATCTCCAATTAACCACTGTGGCTCAAGTGGTAGAGCACTCGCCTTGAGGCCCAGAGATCAAGACCCATGACTGTCAAAAGAAATACTAATAATAAAGGTAGTGCAGTAGCCTTAAGCACAAAAGCTCAGAGATAACGCCCAGACCTTGAGTTCAAGCCCTAGCACTGGCAAAACAAACAAAAAGCAGGGCTGGGTCCCTGTGGCTGCAGGTTCTCTGTCCTAGGACTCCTACCCTGGCTCTCCCCCGGTTTCCTACCAGCCATGGTTCCCTCCCATCTCACCTGCTTGTTGTTCTGTTTGATGTTGAGCGGGTCGAGGGCGGCGTAGTCGCTGTGGAGAAAGTACTAGTCAGAGCGGATGGCACTGTACTCCCTCAGTCCCCCACGCATCTCCGCCCCACTCCATGGTAGCTCACATCTTTTCTGGGTGGAATCGGTGCAAGATAGCACAGAAGGCCAGGCCGTTGCGCCAGGATGTGGTGAAGTTGGTGATGCAGACACCCTGGTAGCCAGCGGTGACCTCCTGGCACCACTCCAGCAGAGACTGGCTGGAGCTGACCTGGGCACATGGCACCTGAAGACACAGGGATGGATTTAAGGGATGCGTTCTAGGGACCTGTGCCCTTTGCCCCTTGGGGAAGCTCAGGCCTGGCACAAAACTGCTGGGATCCTGAAGAGAGGTATCTTCAGAGACCTCTGACTAGAACCTTGGGCAGGCAAAAAGGCCCCCAGCTCTGGGGATGATCTGCCCAAGGTCACCTAAAAGGTCAGTCATCTCCCAGCAAGATCAGAGATCACTAGTCATCTCCCAGCAAGATCAGAGATCGCTAGCAGCTACTTCTCAAAATCAGCCCAGATAATCATCAGCCAAAGGGTAATATAGCTCCATGCAGAGCTGAAGAAGACAGAATGGGAGAACCAGGGGACCCTGAGGGAGGAGGTGGTGAGGAGGCTTCTTGAAGCTGAGCCCCCACCCATCCCCCTCTCAGTCCACTGGGTGGGTCCATGCAGAACTGCCATTCGCTCAGCCTCAGGTTAGTGGGAAGAAGCAGACGATGCCCTGGGCGGCCCCCATCCCTACCTGGCTGCCTGGCAGCCTCCTGTCCTCTTCAGGCTCCTCTGGGGAAGAGGCCCCAGTGGGCTTGGGCTCCCCAGCCTCTGCCCCACTGGCCACCTGTGCCTCCGTCAGGCTGGCCTCCGGGAGGCTTCCCCCAGCTGCTTTCCCCTTCTTGGTTCCTAAGACCCCAGACTCGGTTTCCTGGGCCTCAAAAATACCAGATTTGTTCTCTAGAGCCCCTAAGGCTGCCATTTCTACTTCCTGAGACCCTAACACCTCAGATTTCCTAGCCTCTGTCCCCTGGTCAGTGAAAACTTTAGCTTCTGCCTCTTGTGCTTCTGATATCTCTGCCTCTATGTTCTGGGACCCTAAAACTTCTTGATTATGAAATGGGACCTTTAAGGCCTCATATTTGAGCACTCCCCAAACTCCATCCTTCTGGGCCCCCTCCTCAGCCCCTGGAACTGTGCCTTCTGACCCTTGGGCCCTGAGTACCTCGTCATCTGCTTCACCAGTCTCTGGCCCTGGGACTTCTGTACCCTCCACTTCTGTCTCCTGGGTCCCAGCTAGCTCGGCTTCTGTCTCTGAGATTCCGGAACCTCCACCTGCCATCTCCTTCCCCAGGGTCTCAGTTTCTGCCGTCCTCATTCCTATTACCAGAGCCCCTGCACCCTCTCCTTCTGCCTCCTGGGTCTCCAGTATCTCAGAGTCTATCTCAGCTTCTGTTCCTGAGGGCCTGGAGCCCCCTACCTCTGTCTCCTGGGACCTCAGTATCTCAGACTCTACTGTCTCAGCCTTGGAAACCCCTATGTCTGTCTCCTGAGTCCCCAGTATTTCAGACTTTATCTCAGCTTCTGTTCCTGAGGCCCCAGAAACCTCTACCTCTGTCTCTTGGACCCCTAATAGCTCAGACTCTAGCATCTCAGCTTCTATTTCTGAGGCCCTAGAAACCCCTATTTCTGTCTCCTGAGACCTCACTATCTCAGCTTCTGCTGTCTCCGTTCCTGCCACTGTAACTTCTGAATCCCCCACTTTTGTCTGGTGGGCCTCTGTTCTCTCAGACTGAATCCCAGGAGCCCCTAAACCCACAGACGCGATCTCCTGTATCTCCATTTCTGATGTTCCCATCTCTGTTCCTGAAATCTGTCCCTGAGCGCCCACTTCTGTCTCCTGGGCCCCCAATATCTCAGACTCTGCCATTTTGGCTTCTGTCTCTAGAACCCCTGGGTACTCAGCTGCTATCTTCTGGATCCCCAATATCTCAGCCTCTACCCCACTAGCCTCTGTCTCTAGTTTCCCAGAACCTCCCATCTCTGTTTTCTTGGCCTCCAATATCTCAGATTCTGGTACCTCAGCTTCTGTTCTCAGTATACCAGTATCCCCAGATCCCTCCTGGGTCTCTAGCATGTCTGCCTCAACTCTTCTAATCCCCAGAACTGCTGAAACCCCAGCCTCTGTTTTCTGGGGCCCCAAGACCTCAGGTTCTGGTATCCCAGCCTCTGTCCCCAGCTTTCCTGGAGGCTTCAGCTCTTTTCCCTGCGCCGCCAGTATCCCCAGTTCTGCCATCCCAGTAGCCTCTAGCTCTAGGATCCCTGATCTTGTTGCCTCCATCCCTTGGGCCTCCAACATCTCCACTGCTGCTGTCCCAGTATCTCTTTCTGAGAACCTTGATCCCCCTGTATCTGTCTTCTGGATCCCCAATACCTCCTGCTCTGCCAGCTCAGTCTCTGTTCCCAGGAGCCTTGAGTCTCCCACATCTGCCTCCCAGGCCCTCGGATGGCAGGACAACACCCCCTGGCCAGCTGGTGATGGGGTCCCCTGCAAACTGCTCACCTGGAGCCCAGTGTTTGCTGCTGCAGCAGAGGGGCCCTGCTCCAGGCCAGTCCTCCCCGCACCAGGGGTTCTGCCCCTCACCCCTGCACCCTCCTCTGTCTCCTGTCCTGCAGCAACTGCTGCGTCCCTGAAGTTGTTGAGAGGCCCGGAATGCCCAACAGGTTCTTCTAGGGACGGGCTGGGGCCTGTGGGAGCCTCTTCTGGGGTCCTGACCCCCATCTTCCCTTGAGAGCCCCTCGGAGGAGCCTCAGGAGTCATGCTGAGACTTGCCTTGGTCAGCAGGCCTGCAGCCTGGGGTTCCTCCATAGCCACTCTGACCTCTGACCTCTGCTCAGCATCCGCTTGGCTAAGTTCTGAACTCTCTTCCGTGGCCCCCGCTGGGGCCCCTGACCTCTTCGTGTTCACTCCTCTGACTCCTGCGCCCTGTCCAGTGTCTACCCCACTCGTCACTGGTCTGTCCCCAGAGTCGCCCTCCTCAGCCTTGGGTCTCCACCCTCCCGGGGCATCTCTGGAGCCTCCATTCTCAACGTCTGAGTCCAGTTTGGCTCCCTGGACCTCTGTCTCTTCCCGAGGGTTTGTCTGGGCCTGGGTCTCTCCAGAAGAACCCACTTCCGCAGGGGAAGCCTCGGAGGCCTTAGGGACCTCATCCCCCACTTGGGGAACTGGGATCCTGGGGACATCAGAGCCTTTCCGGAGCCGAGGGGCTGGGGTGGGGGCGATGTCCGGGCCTGGCTGCACTGAAGACCTGAGGAGAGAGCAGGCGTGTTGGGGGGCTGCTTTAGGCCCCACTGTCAGTTCATCCCACCCTTCAGATGGCTGGGGCACTGGAGAGGCGGGTGGAGGAGGGCTGAAACTCCCCACACGGAGTGGGGCTGGTTCCCGAGCTCACCTTATCTCCGGTGGAGTTCCTGGGGGCCTGGGGGCCTTAGGCCCCACCTGGCCCCCCGTTATAGCAGCTGGCTCTGCCCCCTGCCCCCGGGAGGCCCTGGCCGGGGGTGCGGGAGCACTCACAGGGGCAGAGCTGGTTTCCTTAGCACTAGAAGGGCTGGCAGCTGAGGGGGGGTGGAAAGGAAGGGGAGCTGAGGCCTGGGCCCTGGGCCCTGAGTTCCAGTTCCCAACTCCACACCCCAGCCTGGTCCCCACCTGTCTGCCAGGGCCGTCCTTGGCTCTCATCCTCCTCAGAAAGCGTCTTCAGCTCCCGGGAGGCCTCTAGAGGTGGGGATGTTGCAAGCACAAAGTTAGCCCATGTCATCAGGGGGCCCTAAAGGTTGGACTCCTTTCCCCCCAACTCAAGTAGAGGGCCTACCTGGGAAACGCCCCAGCCTCAGGGCACCGCCCCGGCCTAGGAAGAGACAGGCCCACAGACACCGAGTAAGAGAGAAAGAAGGAGAGAAAAATAGAGCAAGCAGACAAAAGCTTTAAGGAGTAAAAAGGAGGGAGGGAGGGAGAGAGGCTGGCTCAGGTGGTAGGGGTAGGAAAACCAGGCTGCAGCCCCTCTGAGTTTGTGGGGGTCGGGGGGAAGGGGCTTGAACTCAGGGCCTGTGTGCTGTCCCTGAGCTCTTACGCTCAAAGCTAGTACTCTAGCACTTGAGCCACACAGCTCCACTTCTGGCTTTTTGGTAGCTAATTGGAGACAAGAGTCTCAGAGACTTGGCCACCCTGGCTGGCTTTGGACCTAGATCCTCAGATCACAGCCTCCTGAGTAGCTAGGATTACAAGCCTGCCTGGCCACTCTGAGCTCTTGACCTGGCTTCTCAGGCCAAGTAAGGGAGAGACAGGGACCCAGCAGTGATGAGAGAGCCAGGGCATGGAGGGATTGGGAACCCATCCTGCAGGACTTGGCTGAGGGGCCAAGCTGGGGCATTCAGGACTGCTGCGCAGTAATGAGTTCCCCGTCCTACCCCAGCATAGCGAGAGGCTTGTGTCCTGGCCCTCCCCCTCCCCCTAGGCCATGTTAGCAAGCCGTGAGCCTACCTGGTTGGGGACCCCGGGCCCGGGCCTCAGGGGCCCCTGGGCCATCAGCTTCATCCTCATCACTCTCAGCAAAGTCATCCAGGTTGCCCACATCACTAGGCTTCACGCTCATGAGGCTGGCCAGACTCTGCATGTCATCATCCCTGGGGGTTAGAGGTCAGGGATGAGGGCTGGGGTCAGAGGTCACAGGCCAGGGCCCAGGAGGGCAAGTGAGCACTCACGTGGCACGGCCCTCCCGCAGCAGCACCCCGGAGAGGGTGAGGCTCAGCTCCGCGTGCACCACCTTCACCGACTTGGCCTTCATGCGCAGTCGCAGTGGAACCTGGGCAGGCACAGGCCCCGCATGGCGAGCCAGGTCTACCTCGGCGGTGGCCAGCACCTTCCGCTGGCCCTTGGACTCCTATGGTCCCGAGGGAAGGGACAGAAAGAGAGCATCAGTGCTGCCCTGCTGCCCCTGGAGACCCCAGGCTCCAGTCCACGCCAGCACTCACGTTCTCAATAATAAATGTCCATTCTTTGGCCTCATACTGTTCCACATGGGGGTCCTAGGGTGAAGAGAAGGGTAGGTAAGGGCTCCTGGGAGGGCAGTGTAGGGAGGAGGGTCTATGGTAGCTTAGGACTAATGGGGAGGTAGAGCCTTCACCCCACTGGGACTGGGCTTCTATTCCAGGTGCCTCTCCTACTGCAGGATTGGGTGATTGTTGCCTCCTCCAAGAAGACCTCCTGGCCACCCGTGCTAAGCAGGCCCCTTCCCAAGAGTCTTGCTTCCACCCCTCTATTCTTTCCCATCTAGATGAACACTCAGAGTGTTCCAACCATCTGACTGTGGGCACCTGTGACCGGGTTGGAGACTCACCCTGTACAGCGTCACGGCAATGTCCACGTTCTCAGGCACCATCCACACCACAGTGCCACGGTATGGGTTCTGGATACCAGGCTGCCAACTGTGGGCCTACAAGGGACCTTCTCTGAGTCTTGAAGTTCCCTCCCATCCCCATAACTCTACACCCTTATCCTCAAATCTGTATGAATATGCACGTGCATGCGTGTGTGTGTGTGTGCATGCACAGGCAGGCACACAGGGCTTGAACTCAGGGCCTTGTGCTCTCCCTTTGCTATTACATTGACCCTGAGCTTTTCTTTTGCTCAAGGGTAGCACTCAATCACTTGAGCCACAGCTCTGTTTCCCAGCTGTTTAGTGGCTAATTGTTCCTGTTCAGACTGGCTTCCAATTGCAATCCTCATATCTCAGCCTCCTGAGTAGCTAGGATTATAGACATGAGTGCCTGGCTTCTCCCTTAGCTTTTAGATTAAAGGCTGGTGCTCTTGGGGCTGGGAAGGTGGCTCAGTGGTAGAGTACTTGCCTTGCATGCCTGAGGCCCTGGGTTTGATTCCTCAGCACCACATAAGCAAAAAAGAAAAAAGCCGGAAGTGGTGCTGTGGCTCAAGTGGTAGAGCGCTAGCCTTGAGCTGAAGAGCCTGGGACAACACCCAGGCCCAGAGTTCAGGCCCCACAACTGGACCCAAAAAAAAAAAAAAAGGCTGGTGCTGTACCATTTGAGCCACACCTTCACTTCCAGCTCTTTGCTGGTTAACTGAAGATAAGAATCTCTCAGATTTGTCTTCTAGGTTCAAACCGCAGTCCTCAGATCTCTCCCTCTTGCGTAGACAGGACTACAGGCATGAGCTCCCAGCACCAGATTTACATTTTTAGGGAGTGTGCCATTTTTAGGGAGAGCCTTGAACTCAGGGCCTTAAGCTTTTGCTTGGCTTTTTCCACTCAAGACTGGCACTGTATCACTTGAGCCACACCTTCACTTCCCCCATCTTCAACTTTGAGGCCAGCTCCCTCTTCCTCTGTGGATTATGATATGCTCCTGAATCCACTAAGAGTCCCTCTGGCTTCCCTGGACCCCCTTCTGACCCCATCCCCAACTGGACCCCAATGCCACCCTCTCCCACCTTGGAGCAGATGCGTCGGTTCCGACGGGTCCATACCACCACCAGTTTATCTGGTTGCCTGGGGCAGGGGAAAGAGGGGAAGGGTGCTCAGTCAGGCCCACCCCAGCCTCCCCATCCTCTCCTAGCCCATGTTGGGTCTTCCTTCAGCTTGAGTTCCTTACCGGGTCAGAAGAGGCTTGGGCAGCCTCTTATCTGAGGCCACAAGGTGTAGGGTGGGGCTGCTGAAGCAGGGTGGGGCCAAGGCCAAAGAGCAAAGGCTTGGGCAGCAGAGGCCAGCATGAACTTGATGTGGAAGACAGCAAGAGCCAGAGCCAGGCACACACAGAGCCAGGGACAGCCAGAGACAAAGCCTCCGAGTAACACAAATCCATTCATAAGCACATTATTTGTGGAGTGCTCACTGTACCCCAGCCCTGTCTGGGGTACAGAGGAAGGCCGAGGGAAGACCCTTCGGTGGCAGGGTGTAGGCAGGAAGGAAGTTAGCAGGCTCACTTCAGGTGGATGTGAGAGCACCTGTGGGGTCTCAGGGTTGACTGAGCAGAGGTGAGGGTTAAGGGAAGGAGGCCGTGGGTGGAGCTGAAGCCTGGGCTCCAGGCAGAGAGAATGGCAGGTGCAGGAGGTTGGGGGAGGAGTAAACTGAGGGGCGGAGTGGGGAAGTGAGGCCAGAAAGGAATAGGGTTAATTTGTCATTAGATTTCCCCCCTCCCACCGCACAAGAAGAGTCAGCCAGGACTCCTGTTTCCCCAAACTCAGAGCCTGGGACACTGGCTCTGCAGAGAGACGGTGACAATGGCACCCAGGAGAAGACTTGCAGGCAGTGATGTCTAAGCTGAACAGCAAAGGTTGGGCAGACTCAGAGGAGAGGAAGAGACAGAGACAAAGTGAGGAGGAGAGATGGCTACACAGGGCCTCATCCCACATGGGAACTGACACGTGTCCAGGCCAGGGGAGAGGGCCCCTCTTGGGGTTGGTGTCCAACCCAGAAGGCTGGTGAGGATCAAAGACAGCACCAGAGCTCTTCTGGGCTGCTCCCCGCCCCATGCCAGGATGCTTGGGGTCTGAGTCGACCTAGCTTCCTGTCTCCTGTGGAGATCAAGGCAGGATAAGTGGCTCACCTGTTTGGTAATCCCTCAAGGATACCAAGGGCCCAGAGAGGCTGACCGCAAGGTCACACAGCTGAGTGTAGAGCCCTCTGACCCAGAGCTAAACTCCCTTTCTCAACCCTCAAACTACAGGCACTGGCCCAGCAAGGAGTTTCCCAGAAAAGGGAAGCAAATCAGGGTGCCTGGATAAGGTGGAGCCCAGCTGGGCAGCTTGACTCAGGCCAGGCACGCCTTCCTGGGGAGACCTGGGCAGCTTCCTGTCCTAAGCTCCGGCTAAGAAGTGCAGAAGGCCTTACCCAAGGCTGCTAGTGACTCAGCCCCGTTGATACGGCCTGCCTCCCTCAGCCTGCTCACCAGGACCACGTTCAGCATTCTGATTGACCTCACCCAGGATGCTGGGGCAGAAGCCAGAGGTCAGAGTTCACGTGCTCTGTGAGTATGGTTGCCCTAGCCAGAGCCCGTCCTCCTCAGCCCTTTGCTGAATGAAGGGCATGCCAACAGGCCTGGGATAAGCAAGCCTGGCGACACTGCTGCTTCAGAGACCCCAGCTTCTGCTCGCTCCCCTCCCTTTAGACCTTATGATCCTTTCAGACTGGAGCTCTTCCCCTTGGGAACCTAAATTTAGCCCTGCCTGGTGAGCGAGGCCCCCACAGCTGTGTCTTAATCCAGCCAAGGGAAGCCGACACCAGGGAGCACGTATATTTAGGGTGTGACGCAGGGGCCTGGGCAGCTGCGGGTGTGGGCATGTGAGCCACATGCCCTGGGGCCCTTCAACACTCCAGGCCAGGGCCTGTACCCTCCAATGTGTCCCCCGGCACCCCACTACCTTGCCTTCTGAGGAGCCTCTCCTCTGGGACCCACAACCTTCTCCGCTCTCGGGGCCCCTTTAAGCCACTCTCCGCCTCCCTCTTCATCTCTCCAAGTGCTCAGTTTCCCCTTTTAAGGACATGGTGAAGATGCTTCCAGCTTTTCAGCGCCCATTGGACTGAAGTAGGGAGGGCCCCTGGCTCCACCAGAAGGCAGAAGAGGCCTGAATCTTTGTTCTAAGCTGCACTGAAGTTTCTGTCCCAGGGCTGGGCTACACCTGTGCACCTCAAAACCTGCTGCCCAAGCCGTCTCTCCCCTAAGACACGTGGTTTGCTTCCTGAGCCCTGACCACCACAGCTACGCAAAATGTGGGCACAGGTGACTCTCAGACCCGAGTCCTGACCCCCATCCCCAGGCTGCTCCCCACCCTCTGACCCTAGAAGTCCAGCAGCCTGGGATCCCAGGGCGCAAGCTGACGGGGTTCCACGTCGGTGTAGGGGCTTCCGCGGACCTCCCTCCCACTCACCACTTCTTAGTGCACTCCAACACCAGCTCGTGGTAACAGGCCACAAACTGGAACTTGGCGGCCCGCTTGCCCACTCGCTGGAGGCGCTTCCACACCGAGGTCATCGCCCCCGCCGCTCCGCTGCCCACTCCTCAGACCCGGGGCTCCCGCTGGCCCGCGTCAGCTGGCCCCGACGGGGTCCCCATGGTCGCCAGCGCTCCCGTCCACGTCCCGCCCGCCCCGTCTGAGCAGGGGCGTCCGCGGCTCGGGCCCGCGCGCCTGGCTGCGGCCGCTGGGACAGCCGGGCGGCCGCGGGGTCGGCGGGGCGTCCGGAGCGCGGAGCGGGGCTGCCGGGCTGGCCGAGCGCGGAGCGGCCAGCGCGCCGTTTCCTGGAGCCGCACCCCCGTCGGAAGGCGGGCGGGGCCCGGCGCGGGGCCGGGGCGGAGGGCGGGGCCGCCCGGCTTCCGGGGCCTGGTGCCGCGAACCGGCGTGGGGGGGGGGGGGGCGGGGGCCGGGGAGCGAGGGCCACGCCCGGCTCTAGCGGCTCCGTGCGAGGCGGGGCGATGCCGCAGGCCCGGCGCGGCCCTCGGGCCACCTCCTTTCCTAGGCGCAGCGTGATGCCCGTGACCCCATTTCCCAGGCTAGGAAAACAGAGACCCAGAAAGAGGAAAGGACTCGCCCCGTCCTCCCGAGCCTCCGGGCCACGGTGGGCTGCCCACGCCGGGGGCGCGGGGGGGACCCGGAGGGGGCGGAGGCGCCGCCCACCGCGGTGCCCGGCCCCTCCCCTGCGCGTGGCGGAGAACGGCCGGGGGCTGGCAAGGGGAGGAGGGCACCGACCTCCCACGAGCAGCTGGAGGTTCAAATCCCGACTTCCAAGCAAGCGTGGGCTCTCAGGCCAAGCCCTGGGACCCCGCGCCTCCGTCTGGGCTTCAGTTCAGTGGAAATCATTGTGGTTCCATCTTTTACAGACAGTAAAGGCTGAAAGCTGGGAGAGCAGACCTGGGCTCGTTTTTGTCCAGTCACACAGGAATCCGTTATCTTGGCAGGGAACGTGTGCTGCACGAATGTCCTTCCCGCTCCTCCCCAAGTCCACAGGGGCGTTAGCGCCCTGTCAGCTCCCAGGAGAGTCCTTATCGCCCGCCCGCCCGCCCGCCCTGCAGGCTGAAGATCCCAGTTAGAGGGCGGCCCGGGCACCGCGGCAGCGGCCTGCTCGTGCCAGCCAGCCACGAGACTTCTGCGTGGACTAAAAGCCCGGTGCCTGCGAAGTCCTGGGTTCGAATAGGACTTCCGATCTGCCAGGAGACCCAGAAGGGCCACAACACCAGGAGGCAAGGGACTGGGGCAGGAAGCGGCTGGGGGGAAGGGGGCGCGGATGGGGTGTTCACACCCCCAAGTGGGCACGCTGGGAGTGTGGGGGTTCCCCCGGTGGGCTTGGCTCTCAGGCCCAGCCCAGTGATCCTTCCCAAGAGGAAGCCCGTTATTTACACCGCTAAAGGACCCCGAGTTGAGGGAGGGGTGGGGGGGCCCGGGTGCGGAGACCCCACGATCCCCTAGCTGCTTAGTCTCTAGCGCCCAAGCTCTCGTTCCTATCTCCTTTTCAGGGTTAGTCTGGCCTCCAGCCGGCGGGCATTGGCTCCCGGGCTTTCCCGGAGGCCTGGTCTCCCCTCTCCCTGAGGCCCCTCGTCCCCGGCCCACCCATTTCCTGTGCAGCCCCAGCTCCGCCCCTGCTCGAGGTGGAAAGTTTCTCTCCTCAAGATGGGCGGCTCCTTCTTCCTTTCCGCTGCCGCAGACCAGGAAAGTCCAAAGCCCAGTGAGGAGGGGGGCTGGGTTCCGAGGAGACCAGCCAGAGAGGGGAAGTGACAGGACCGCAGTCACACAGCTGCTGGGCCTGGCTCCGCCGGCCTGGAAAGCGCCCAACCCCGCGGAGCGGCCCGCAGCCGCCGCGCGAGGCCTCCACTCGGGCGCCGCGACGCCACCTGCCGGCAGCCGGCGGCTCTCACCGCCCAGAAGCCGTTGAGTCCCGCCCCGCAGCCAGGCACTGGGGACGCTTGAGTATTTCTTTATTTATTTATCAACACATCCAGGAAGTGGCCCCTCAACACATCCAGTCTGAAGCTCTGCCCTCCTGGCCGTGGGTGGTTGCAGGGATGGGTCCTGGAGTCCTTGTCCGGGGCAGTGGGTGCCCAGGACTGCAGGTGGCGTGCCCCTGAGCCAGCCGCTGCCAAGTAGCAGCGAAGGTGAAAAAGATGGGCGCTAGGCACTCTGGGATCCGAATTCCAGAGATGGCATGGGCAGTGCAAGATGCTTTGAGTCCCACCGCCAGACTGCAGGTAGGTTAAGCTGGGGTGCACACATATAGAAGTGGAGGCCCAAGGCGGTAGGCAGAGCCTGTCACCTAGGTGTCTACCCAGTGCCCGCTAACCAGGAGGGGGCTCAGCGGTGTTGCCTGAGGGACACTCGCCTCGCCCGGCTGAGGTGAGGTGGCAGAGCAGGCACCGTAGTCTGAGGACTTGCTGATAGACAAGTTCTGCGCCTTTTGCACGGGTGCGTTCCCACCCACCCTAGCTCTTCAGAGGCTGATATGGAAGGCGTCCTGCAGCCACTGGTCCCGGGCATTGTGCGTCTGGGGCACCGTTAGGGGTGGCGGGTCTGGGGGCAGGCTGGCGTCCGGAGGCTCCTCATCATCAGACAGGCAGGCATCGGGCGGATAAGAGCTGTCTGAGTGCAGGGAGGAGGACAGGTCCTGGCAGAAGCTCAGGTCTTGGCACAGGTGCTTGTAGTCCTGGATAGACTCATACAGGCCCCACAACTGGCACAGCAGGGACATGTCCAGCTGCCGCAGCCCCACCTGCAGACAACTGACGGTGGGCTGGAGTTGGGGTCCGGGTCACCCCCCAGCCCCTGCCTCCAGAAATCCAAAACCCCCAGCCCCAGGCCCCAGCTCTAGCCAATCTACTTGCACCTTCCTAAAGCAAAAGTTTGGGGAACAACAGATGGCACCTGCGAGCTGCGTAACTTGAAGCAAGTCACAGATCCTCATCTGTAAAATGGGGGTAACATCCATCTAAGCAGGATAAAGGGAACACGAGCAACATAAGCCCGTCAATATGCCATGCATGCCTACAATTACTGCAAACACCTCCGAGTCCCAGGCTGTCTGCAGGTGACCCCCCTGCACTGCCCATTGTTCCAGCGCCCACCCACTCACCATTTCTTTGCGCAGTGAGGCCAGGGCCGAGTCGAGGTTGACCGGGCGACGCGCACCGACTGCAGATCCGGAGTTGGCAGCGCCGGCGGCATGGCGGGGCCCGTCGGGAGCGCGTGCGGCGCGGCTCAGCTCGTCGTGGATGCGGTTACGCTGGCTGTAGACGCGCTCCAGCTCCCGCCACGAGCCGCCGCTGGCGTTGAGGAGGCCGCTGAGGCCGCGCGGAAGCGGAGGGAGCCCCGCGAGGGCACAGCCCGCGCCGCCCGGCGCCTCGGCCGAGGGCAACCCGTTCATGGCAAAATCGGCAGGGCTGGTGATGCCGCCTCCCACCTTCGGGAGCCGCCCGGGCCGCCCCGCCGCCCCCGAGCTGCGCCGAGCCGAGCCGCGCCGCGCCGCGCCGCCGCCGCCCGCAGGCCGCGCTTTGTTCCTTCCCCAGCTCCACCGACTCCGCCTCCGACCCACCCCCCACACAGAGGCGGGGCCTCTCTTAAAAAGGCAAGGGCTGCGGGACCGCAATGGCATAGAGGAGAAAAGCTATAGGGGTGCCAGGAAGGGGAGCGAGAAAGGGGAGCAGAGAGGCAGGTGTGGTTCTTTGGAGGCTTTTTGCTGCCTCACCCTTACATACTTGGTTCTGCACAATTACCCTCCCAAGGAAAAGGATGTGGAAGTGGAGAGTCAGTAGACTGGGGCTCAGGAGACGGGGGACCGGGGGTGTACACGAGGTGATATAGGTGGTAGCATCCAGGTGCTCGGAGGGGAAGCCACAGGTCCGAATTGACTGAGGTGGCTTGGGGGGAGGGAAGGAGAGCCCCAAGACAAGACAAATGCTGATGTGCCCTTGAGGTGGCTAAGACCTCATCCTCCGCGTGAAGTATCCCAGACCTCTCCATCTACCCCTCAGCTTGGCTGCACAACTCATCTTTCAAGGAAATCTTTTCAGGAAGAGCAGACAGTGGAAAAGGTGAGAAGCAGAGAATACGAAAAATGTGAGAGGAGCTGGGACTGGCATGCACACTCAGACCCAAGGAAAGAACAAACCACACGGAAGAACAGCAGTTTTTCTAGAAGGTTTTTCTGGGGGGGGGGGGTGTCTCTTAGTGCTGCAGCTGTTTCAGGCTACCCAGGGCATCAGCACATGCCCGAATTAGGCCACACAGCTGGATACTAGTCTCCAGAGAGGTGCTACAGCCCAGCTCAGTTGATGCCCAGGTCAGCTTTTGCAGGAGGGCCTCTTGTGTGCAAGATACCACATCTGCATTTGGGGGCACAGCAGGAGGGGGTGGACCCTGGGCTGCTTTGAGGCCTGCTGCAGCTCCCTCGCAGTGCTCTGGACGGGGTACAGGGGGCTGAGGTGTGGGCCGAGAGCTCAAGGGGAGTTCTGTGGCAGAAGCAAGCTGATGTTCCCGAGCCTGTGAGAGGGCAGCCTGAGCATTCAGAGCTAAAAGAAGAAGGGGGGGGGGGGGGGGATAGTCAGGATATCCGGCTCACCTCATCCCTGAGCCACCTGCTCTTTACTGCTCTGCTCTTTCTGTGCTGTTTTCCCTGATTTATTAATTATGTATTTGTGGTTGTAGGGCCTAAACTCTGGGCCTGGGCGCGCTGGCCCTCAGCTCTTCAGCTCAAGGCTAGCACTCTACTACTTGAGCCACCGTGCCATTTCCGGCTTTTTCTGCTTATGTGGTGCTGAGGAATTGAACCCAGGGCCTCATGCATGCAAGGCAAGCACTCTACCACTGAGCCACCTTCCCAGCCCCCCGTTTTTTGTTTTTTTGGGGTTTTTTTTGTCAGTCATGGGGCTGGAGCTGGGTGCTGCCTCTGAGCTCTTCAGCTCAAGGCTAGCGCTCTACCGCTTAAGAGCCACAGAACCACTTTTGGTTTTCTGGTGGTTATTGGAGATAAGAGTCTCACAAACTCGCTGGGCTGGGAAGGTGGCTCAGTGGTAGAGCGCTTGCCTTGCATGCATGAGGCCCTGGGTTCGATTCCTCAGCACCACATAAGCAAAAAGAAAAAAGCCGGAAGTTTCCTGCTCAGGCTGGCTTCAAACTGTAATTCTCCTATCTCTGCCTCCTGAGTAGCTAGGGTAACAGATATGAGCCAGTGGCTATGTTTTGTTTTGAGATGGGATTTCACGAAATATCCGAGGCTGACTCACTCATTCATCATTCTCCTGCCTCAGCCTCCCGAGTGCTGACATTACAGCCATGGTCTACTAAGCCCAGCTCTTTCCGCCCTCCTTGCATCTTACTACAGAGCTACGGTCCTAGGCTCACTTCACTTTCTACTATGTTATCAGTTTTTTAAGCCCTGGCTTTATCTCCCCATGAAAAGTGTGTCCCAGGACCCGGAACACAGTCCAGTGGTAGAGAAGGTGCCTGGCATTCCTGAGGCCCGGAGTTCCAGTCTCAACAATGGAGGAAGGTCAGCTGATTAAGCTTACATTCTCCCACAGGTCCGCAAAAGTGCTTAGTGCTCCTAATGAAACGGATCTCTCTGAAGCAGACAGGAGAAAGCTCCTAACTTCCATTCCCCTCACAGACCCCACTGTCACCTCCCGGGTCTGTTCCTGAGCCTCTATTACCGCGCTGCTTCTCCACCGAGTACACTCGGCTCCTCACCGGGATTATCTTTATCCACATCTGAGTCGAGTTCCTGACAAGCCACGCAGTAGATTTTCCGCTGTTTGTCTTGGAGGAGGATCGTCTGTGGACCGGAAAGCACAACGGGGCACGTGTAAGATGCTGGGCGGGCTAAGAGCTGTACGGACTGGCCCGCAGCCCATCCCCGGTGACTCCAGCGAGTCTTCTCTGAACTCACCCCGCAGTCCGCGCACGTTTCGCCTAACATGCGGTAACCGCGCAGCAGGTAGTCGCCCATGAGCCGGGAGATGCGATCCTGCCGCTCCCGGCGCGCCTGCAACACCTTTGTCTCCGCCTCAGTCGGAGGCTCCCAGGACAAGTCATCGATTTCTGGGGGAAGAGAGGCACAAAGAACCGGGGTGTTGGAACAAGCCGCCCCTCGTACTCCGCAGCCCCAGGACCCCGCAACCCCAGTTCTCACCAGCGCCATTCAGGGCCATGTTGCCGTTGTCACCAATGGTTCACCGGAAATGACGTAAATTTACGGTGCCGTCGGTGCGATTCCGACCCTTCCATATTGGCCCTACGTGAGGGCGGAAATGACGCACCTCCGTGGTCTTCCGACTTCGCTTTGCCCAAAATGGGGCGTGTGTACCGCAGCGTTGGCCGAGCCCAGGAGGCGTGTCAGTCAGCCGTCAGTCAGCTGTCCGTTAGAGGGTTGGAACTTCCTCGGTTATGCAGGCTAACTCTCCTCCGGTCTCAGACTGAGAAGTGTCTGCACCGCGTCGCCTTTCCTGCCCCGCCGTAGATGGAGGCTTGAGAAATCGTGGTGGCCTCCGCTTGCCTGGGCGTTGTCCTTCCCGCACCGGCCACGCCAAGCCCGGGACCGGCGAGGCAGCGGCGGCATCACACAGCCGCTGCAGCGCATGGAGCCCCGGACCTGGTGCGCAGACCCGCAGGGCTGGGCAGGTGGGGGGTCATCATTAAGCTCTTTCCCCTCCTTGTGCAGTGTCCAGTCTGTCCATGCCTCCAACCAAGGCCTGGGACAGAGGCAAAGGTACCCAGGAAGCTGAGATCTGAAGAATGCGGTTTGATGCAGCCCTGGCAGGAAAATCTTTGAGACTCTTACCTCTAGTTAACCACCAAAAAGCTGAAAGTGGAGCTGTGGCTCAAGTGGTAGAGCACTAACGTTGAGTAAAACTCAGAGAACTAACTTGGAGTAAAAAAGTTCAGAAACAGTGCTTAGGCCCCAAGTTCAAGCCTCACAACAACAACAAATCTGCAAAAAGTACCCTATTGGGGGGCTAGGAAGGTGGCTCAGTAGTAGAGTGGCTTGCCTTGCATGCATGAGGCCCTGGTTCCTCAGCACCACATAAGCAGAAAAAGCCAGAAGTGGTGCTGTGGCTCAAGTGATAGAGTGTTAGCCTTGAGCTGAAGAGCTGAGGAGCAGCGCCCAGGCCCAGAGTTCAAGCCCATTACCAACAAAAGATAAGTATTCAGGGCCTTACATATGCTAGACAAGCCCTCTAATACCTCAACCCTCCTGTGTTTTTTCCATATATGTCCTCTCCTTTATTAGGTTGGGGATCAGTAGGGGCTCCCAGATAGGGTTCAAGGTTATAAACCTAAGCAATGGAAAAGGATGCCTAGAACTAGAGACCCATAATTTTTTTTTTTTGGGGGGGGGGTCCAGTCGTGGGACCTGAACTCTGGGCCTGGGTGCTGTCCCTCAGCTCTTCAGCTCAAGGCTAGCGCTCTACCACTTGAGCCACAGCGCCACTTCTGGCTTTTTTCTTTTTTCTTATGTGGTACTGAGGAATCGAACCCAGGGCCTCATGCATGCAAGGCAATCGCTCTACCACTGAGCCAACTTCCCAGCCCCAGATATCCATAATTTCATCTGCAGCCTCTTTTGACTGTACAAACATGCTTTCACCATCTTACCTGAAATGCCATTCTTTCCCCTGCCCCTGTGTTTACCTCCTCTTCCCCACTACTCCCAGTCCTGGGGCTTGAATTCAGGGCCTGGGCTCTGTCCCTGAGCCTGTCTGTGCTCAAAAGCTAGGGCCCTACCATTTGAGCCACACCCCTACTTCTGGCCTTTTCTGTTTGTGTGCTACTAAGGAATCAAACTCAGGGGCTTCATGCACTCTACCACTAAGCCACCTTCCCAGCCCCATGTTTTTATCCTTTTAGGAATCCCAGAATTGCCTTTTCTCATCCTTGTTTTTTCCTGTTTATGAGCTCATTCTCTATCACCAGCAGGCTTTTGGGCATCACAGTAACTAACTCAGGACCTATACCCCCAAATCATCTCTCCTAGGCTGAGTAAAGGGACTGTCCATAAACCATCTCTTGTACTCCAACCTGTATACACACACCTTCCAGCCCTATTCTGTATTCCCCAGTGCACCCTCTGGGGTCATTGTCATAGCCCAAACCCACTTAAATTGCCAATTCTACCTGGTACCAATTAAGACACTTACACTTCTCTTCCTACCTAGTCCCTTTTACTTCTTATGAGGACTTTATGGAGACAGGTACTGCTATTGCTCCCATTTTACACAGCAGGAAGCTGAGTAATTCTTTTGTGTGTGTGTTGGGCACTGGAGCTTGAACGCAGGACCTGAGCACTGTCCCTGAGCTTTTTTGCTGAAACCTGATCTCTATCATTAATGTGAGCCACAACTTCATTTCCAACTTCTTGCTGGAAATTAATTGGAGATAAGAGTCTCGGATTTTCCTGCCGGGGTTGGCTTTGAACTGTGATCCTTAGTTCTCAGTCTCCTGAGTAGCCACTGGCACGCAGCAAGTAATTTTTTTTCTTTCTTCAAATATTTCTTTATTGAGATTGACTACATAAGTTTCACAATACTGTGGCATAGTTATACTTAGCTAAAGTCACAAACACATTTTAATCTTCACAATGATAATCATTATCTTAATCTACAAAGTTTATGAACTCTAGGAACGTTAATAAAACTATTTCTTCCAAATTGGGTGATATTTACATTTCTTTCCATTTGCTTAGCATCAGCTGTTCCCTCTTTCTCATTCCCTCCCTTCCCACCAAGTAATTCTTTCAAGACATAAATCATGTTAGCTTTGCTCAAAACCCTATCACACTGAGACAAAAATCCAAAGTCCTTACTTCAGTCTCCATGGTCTTACAGAGCTGACCCAGGGGACCTGCTTGCCCTGCAAGGGGACCCCAACACCTCTTTTAAGAGCCTCTCTCTCTACTTCACTGTAGGGTAGAAAAGGCACAGACCTAAGATCAAGCATGCCTGGGTTTGTCCTGGATCTGTTGCTTACTAGCTCTGTCACCTGGAACAATTTACTTCACCAATTTGGGCTTCAGTTCCTCCTCTGTGAAACAGGCAGTATGGATTTGAGAGCTGCTGTGGAGATGCGAGGAGAGAGGCATTGGAGAGGTCTCCACCAGTCTGTCTCATATTCTTGTGAACAGAGACACAAGGCCTCTTGTGAATGCATGCCTTTATTCTGGAAAAGCTTTTCAAGGCTGTTTATATAGTGAACAGTCTTTGGCTGAGTACTGTTATAGAGAGCGGGTCTAGTCATGGCTTGTTATAAATGATCTGGGCTCATACCTTAGCAAGCAGTCTAATCACTAAATGAACACAGCTGTCCTCAGGACGGGACCAGCTACTCTAAGCTATTTCATTTGTAATGACCAAAATGAGAGGAGTATGGGTATATTTGGACTAATTGTTTAAATTCTGGGTTCTATACTTGACCATGATGTTTCTTTCTGAAGGCAACTCTAGGCCACCCTAATCAGTTACTCTGAAGGGGAAACCCAGTAAAAAGGGGACCTAGGAAATTCAAACAATGTGGTCCAGGCTTCCAGAACACTCTTCTAGACTAACACAGGTCCTGAACCTTGAGAATAACTGTTTTCTCTTTTCTTTCCTTTTTTTTTTTTGCTGTTGTTTTGTTTTGTGCCAGTCCTGGGTTTGAACTCAAGTCCTGGGTGCTGTCCTTGAACTTTTTTGTTCAAGGCTGGCCTTCTATCACTTGAGCCATAGCTCCACTTCCAGTTTTTTGGTGGTTAGTTGGAGATTAGAATACCATGGACTTTCCTGCCTGGTGTGGCTTCAAGCTGTGATCCTCAGATCTCAGATCTCAGCCTCCTGAGTAGCCAGGATTACAGGTGTGAGCCACTGGCACCCAGCTACCTACCTGTCTCTGAGTCTTTCAACAGGGGCCTTCATGTAGAGTGAGATGTATATAAGACCCTTGTCCCTTTGAAGTACCTGTCTTTCCAGGTGAAAGGCATGGGTTGGGGGTGAACTGAATAAAAAGTGAAAGTCTAGCTACTGACAAGAAATGAATTGATTTTTGTCACAGGGGAGAAATGGCAATAGTTTTGGTACCCAGGAAGGAACATTCAGACCCTGGAGAGCTATGGGAGGAGAGACGTTAATGATGTCTGTCTCTCTCACCTTCTCCCCAATGAAGCCTTCCTAAGGAAAATACCTCCTCCACCCCTCCCAAACTGTTGTAAATTCAACCAATTGCTGTGTCTGCCACTCTCTGTCAGAAGGTTTTGATTGTGATCGACTGTCATTCTATTTAGCCTTCCTGATTTATGAGAATAACAGGGATCTTACCAATGGTTCATCAAGGTCATCTTCAACTCACTGACCAAGGTTGTTAGAGTCAATAGAGTCTCTCTAGACTTTGTGTTGAGGGCCGGCTGGGTCTTAGGGGTTGAACTCAAGGCCTAGGTGATAGGTGCTATCCCTAGCTTTTTCTTTCCCTCCCTCCCTCCCTCCCTCCTTCCTTCCTTCCTTCCTTTTGTCGGTCATAGGGCTTGAACTCTGGGGCCTGAGCGCTGTCCATCAGCTCTTCAGCTCAAAGCTAGCTCTCTAACACTTGAGATACAGCGCCACTTCCGGTTTTCTAGTGGTTTCTTGGAGATAAGAGTTTCACAGACTTTCCTGCCCCGGCTGGCTTTGAATTGCGATCCTCAGATCTCAGCCTCCTGAGTAGCTAGGATTACAGGCGTGAGCCACTGTCGCCGGCTCTTTTTTCTTCCTTCCTTCTTCCTTCCTTCCTGCCCTCTTCCTTCCTCCCTTCCTCCCTTCCTTCCTTCCTCTTTCTTTCTTTCTTTCTTTTTGTTTTTTTTTTTGGTCGGTCATGGGGCTTGAACTCTGGGCCTGAGCGCTGTCCCTCAGCTCTTCAGCTCAAGGCTAGTGCTCTACCACTTGAGCCCCAGTACCACTTCCCGTTTTCTGGTGGTTTATTGGAGATAAGAATCTCATGGACTTTCCTGCTTGTGCCGACTTTGAACCTCAATCCTCAGATCTCAGCCTCTTGAGTAGCTAGGATTATAGGCATGAGCTACCAGCGCCCGGCTTCTCTTAGCTTTTTCTTTTTTCTTTTTTGTTTTTTTGGTCAGTCATGGGGCTTGAACTAAGAGCCTGGTGCTGTCCCTGAGCTCTTTTGCTCAAGGCTAGGGCTTTAGCGCTTTGAGCCACAATGCCACTTACAAGTCTCTGGTGGTAAATT